CTGACTTCACGTTGGTGTTCAAAATCCAAATCTTGCTGTTAATGCTGGCTGAGTGACAGCAGAAGATTTCCAAATTGGTTTCAGGTTGATGAAGGCGTATCTTGCCTTTCCGATTCTACCTGGCTTTGACATCTTCATCCGTGCCGTGTGTCTGTGGCTGAAACAATGCTTCCTAGGTAAGTGAAGGAAGTAACCTCATTCAAATCTGTCCAGTTGATGATGATTGCTTATCTTCATCATCTTCGTTTGCTGTATTTTCACCTGGAGTCCTATCTCCGCCAGCTGCCTGCTTCTTCAGGCAGTTTGTTACCTTCCGCGTGTAAGTCTTCGAGTTTGTGTGACATTAGACATTAATCATCCACGCGCGAAATCCAGATCTTCTAGTGTCTTCATATCGGTCCAGAGTATTTCTGTCTTCTCACTCCCCCACTCACAATCTGACGCATGATCCAGTCAGTCCAACACGATAGGAAATATCATCGGTGACCACTGGCTGGCAGTCTTATCACACTCCTGTATTCATTTCTAACACCTCGCTCAATTTTCCGTCGCGGATCAGCTGACATGTGGCATTGTCATACAGCCAGATGTCGAATGAGGTTGATAAAGATTTCGGCACTGTACGCCCTAGTGTTGAGGTAGTTTCCAAATTACTTCTCAGTCAACGCTGTCTGTCGAAGACGTTTTCGAAGTCGATGAAGTTGAGGTTGGACTGCCATTCTATGCCTTGTTCTGGGATGACAATCTGTAGAGTTTCATTTTGATCAGCACATGATTTGCCTTTCTTGAATCCAGCTGGCTAAGTTCTGTATCCAAGGCATCTCTTATTCTCTCCAGGATGATGCGACTTAGTATTTTAATTAGCGTGAACAAGAGAATTTTTCCACGCCAGTTCTTGCAGATGCGTAAGCCGCCCTTTTTTGGTAGTTTGACAAGGTAGCCAGCCTTTCTTCCAATCAGTAGGCACCTTTTCTTCCTTCCTTCCTTCCAATATTATCGAAGAATATACCAAGTTGGAAATATCGGGTCTCAAGTGATCAACCAACGTTGAGCATGGTTAGTATTTGCATGCGGCATTAGCTGGGACTATTTGATGTCGACCAACAAATATATATAAGTGTGTATGGAAAAATTGTCTGAAGAATCTTTGCTGAAAGATCTAATTCTAGGTGAATTCGCTGACAAAATTCAGAGTCTTCTGAACACCTTGAGTTGCAATCTACGAATGTCTGGTATGCGATTCACTCCCGCCAAATGTAAGATGATGAAGCTACGGGACTAGACTACATTGACTCCTAGGTTACAAATAGGGAGTAAAGTGGTTGGTAGAACGTGTTGACCACTTACTTCACTTATTTGAGAAGTCGCATCAGCCAGTGCCAACGGGTTGATCACTGACTAAATCTCAGAACGGATACAGAAGGCTAGTTTAGCATATGCCAGTTTAAGCCGTCTCTGGTGTAGACGTGATATCCGACTGGCTGTCGACCAAAGGACGTGTGTACTCCTCAGCTGCAGTTTGCTCCATCCTCCTTTATTGCTGCAAAAGAGACATAGCCATTGAAAGTGGAAGGCATGGAAAGGCGAGCTATCTGTCTTTGAGCATAGATGTCTGCGTCCTATCTCCCGTGTGAAATGGTATAATAGAGTGAGCAATATTGAGGTTAGGCGTCGGTCGACTGCTAGGTGAGGAGGAGAAATCAATCGACGGGGCTGTGAAGCTACATCGATTGAGATGGTTAGGATATGTGCTACGTATGCGTAGCCTTCCTCAACGGGCAATGTTAGCTGAGTGACATACGATGGGTCAGGTTGAAAAAGAGGTTAGTGGTGGTCAAACGAAAACATGACTTCATCAGTCAATTAAATCCACAACAGTTAGTTTAAGCTTGCCACATAGGGAGGTGTAGACTTCCTAACTGGTTGGGGTCCTCAGGACGGTAAACATCAATGAAGGCTCGAGACAATCGGTGATAGGGCTCAAAATCGTTGTCAATGGCTAAAGCAGATGCATCTACTCCTTGTCACTTATAATATCCAATGAAACTATATTGTTCTCCGTTATTATTATTGCTTTTGTCTCATATCTCTGTCTACTGTCTGTATTTCGCATTTCTTCTACTTCTTCTCTTACTTTGTGTGCTACAAGGAGTGGAGTGTGGCGACTTGAATTGCTGCACACATGTGCAAAGTTCTTTGTTGAAAACAGACAGACAGATAGCCAGGGATGAGGATCTAATTGAAAAGTAAATATTTCTTTGCACAATCCTTTTGCTTTCTAAATTCAAAAAATGGCGAATTTGAAATGCAGATGGATTGGATGTATACTAAGGAGAAATTCGAGTGACTCACACAACAAAGAGAAACTAGAATGGAACCTGATTAGAGAGTGGCAAGTTCAAGATGTCTTCAACAATGACATGTAGAAGATTACATGAAAGAAGAGGCAATGAAAGCTTGTGAGTAGTCGTACAACACCGGCTGGAAGTGATGCCAAAGAACTGAATGAAATTTTGAGAGGTGCTTCTCAGATACCACCCAGTGTTCTATTTGGAACACAAGGAATAAGTGATAATAATATTGTAAAAGGATACTTTTTTATTCCTTTACGTTCCCAGTGGAACATAGGGCTTCAAGCTAGAGGCTCGAAGTTTCTGTAGCAGTGTTTATTTTCAGAGGATGGTGTTGCTAGCCTCATGCCCAACCTTTCCTCTTTACCAGTTCTATTACAAGCTTAACGAGGTAAAGGTGTGCGTCGGTCGGGGATCGAACCCCGGACCATGGGCATGGTCGGCGAGCGTCTTAACCGCTGTGCCATCGACGCACAACGAAAGGACACAAGTTTGAGAAAAAATGAAAATCAGAAACTTACTGGACACTCATTTCGTCTTAATTTGAGACTCTTCAACAGTACGCACCCAAGACCGCATCATCAGAAATCGAAAATAGGACCTTCAGATTATGATGCTAACCCGTTGACCACTGAACCGTCAATTCGCCGTTTAATGAATAACCGCCAGCCAATATGACATCGGTGAGTATTTGTTTTTACATCCAACTTGATGGATCCTTACTTGTGCTCGGTGGCACAGCGGTTAGGATTCTCGCCGACCATGCACATGGTCCGGGGTTCGATCCCCTGCCAACGCACAGCCGATATCGATGGTTGGCCTACAAAATTTGGGCTACCGATATCACATGCCGAAAATTCCATATGTGTACCAAAAATACGGTGTGGAATCAAGCTATAATCAAAAATTAAATTAAAAATTATCACTAGAATTCCAGGCAACCTTATGATCAGTTAGATGTCTCTTGCTAAATAAGCTCTCTATGACACAAACTGAATCCTGGATCACTAACTGCTTGCATTCCTACTTCTCAAACAGAATGCAGTACACCGTATACAAAGGTAAATCCTCCTCTGCTGCGCTCACTGAAGCTGGTGTCCCCCATGGTGCTGTACTCTCCCCACTTTTCATTTCTTTCTTTCTACATGATTTACCATCTTCAAATGACATTAATTTTGTTAAATATTCTGACGACTTGACTGTATCTTTACCTGTCAAATGTCAAAGCGACTGCTCTAAACTAAATGGCTTTCTATCAGAAATCAGCCAGTGGTCCAAGGAAAACGGTCTTACCTTAAACCCCTGCAAATGCCAAACAGTCAATTTCACCTTTAGGCATAAATCCGACCTAAACAAACTGGTTGGCTCTCACGAGGTGTGCAACATTGATGGCACTGAAATAGAAACCAAGTCGGAAATTGAATACCTAGGCGTCATTCTATCTGCTGATCTCTCCTGATCGTCTCATATCTTGACGATTTCTAAGAAAATATTCCGTCTTACCTTCTACATCAAGAGGTTAAGACATTCCGGAATAACCCAATCCTTACTCTTACGATTCGTTAACTCTCGCATTCTGCCTATTATTCTCTATTGTTCCCCCTTAGTTTTTCCAGGGCTACTGAAGAAGGACTATATCTTATTACGCAGGATGCTAAAGGTTGTCAGCAGGGTAAGCAACGTGTCACGTAACCAGCTTGTTAATATTCTGGTCGACAGGCAGGTACTTGGACTCATGTGAAAAATGGGCTAAATCCATTTTATCTAACTCACACCACCCTCTTCACTCACAACTCTCCCCCGTTGTATCTAATCAGGCAGGACCAGAAGCCTATATAGAAAACTATATGCTGGCACCAGCAAGTACAAAAACTCAACCATACCCTACTTAGCTCGTCTTCTGTGCGATAAAGAAAGCATTAGGCATGAAACCTATAATTCATTAAATAGTCAGTAGAACAACTGGACCTCGTCTTTCCAACTCATATCATTTATAGGTGAAACGTTTTCTTTCTTTCTTTTCCTTTTCTCTCTCTCTTTTTTCTGTTATGTGATGCTTTGTTTCTTTCTTCCGCTTACGCCAGTAAATATGAAAGCATCTACTTTTCTAAAACCTTCAAACACTGTTCAGCTTTACCTTTGCTACTGACATGCCAATATGTTGTTGTCATAATGAACTGAGATTTCCTTAATCTATGAAGAATTCTATTTATTAATATTGTACTAACTGGATGCATTACTGTAATAAAAATGCTGAGAATTCCATTCTGTATCACAAGTACTGTTTTGGAATAAAGCAAATTATTATTATTGTTAATGAGTTGATTGGATTAATTGTTAAGTATTGTTTTCCTGACACTTGATCGATCATTTCAAGCTATATCACACTAATCGATTCGATCTAACTCCTCATATACAAAACTGATCCCAGTTCCGATCTCCAAAAAATAACAGAGAGAACTTTAATTTCTCTTCCGCGCAGAATTAGATAACAAAAAATTGAAACTGTTGTACTTCCCAGCACCCCCTCCCGCCCCCCGATCCCGATTGTAGATAAAAATAACATCAATCAATCGCCAAAAAGAGGTACACACACACACACATCCAATACCTTCGTGAACTTCAGAGTAGTTAAACAAAAACAAGTCACACTATCGATATAATGTAAAACTTATATAAAAATACATTTACTTTTATACAACAATCACATAAACACATAGACAAATAAATCTCAGTTCGTGTCACATATAAAAAAACCTAATTTGGAAATTACCAGAATGACTTTATATAAGGTAGCATTACGTAACCTGAAGAGACCAAATGAAGGCGAGTGCGAGTGAGTCAGTCAGTGAGTGAGTGAGTGAGTGCATATAAGCATAAAACATTGTCATTGAGGTTAAAATAAATATCTTCCGGTGATAATTTGTAATAAGAAGCATATATATATGTGCAAGACCAAGTACGAGGAGGCCTTCTTTTCAAATTATGTTTCAATTAAATTTGATATCCATGTTAACCGCATAACATGATCAACTTTTCGATGGGTTGATTTAATACACCCGAGAAATTGTAATTCTGCTAATCCTTGTAAGAAACGACATCTGAAAAGTTAATAAGCAGAAAAGAAGAAGAAGAATAAAGGAGAAATTTAAAGTCTTGATAGAACACTGTCATGTATACCTCAGAGAGAGAGGAGGAGAACATCAGTAGCCCCCGCCCACCCCTCAACACAGGATTCTTATTTAACGCTGGTATTAGGTTTGGCATTTAAAACAATCAACCAACCAACCAGATCAATCAGAGAAAAAACTTTATTGACTTACGGGTGAAATAGATCTAATTTTCGAAAATAAATACAATGTATATCGAATACCATGGAATGACTGTGAAGTTAATTACATAGGTCAATTTAACAGATAAGATTTTATTTTGATAGCATCACACACAGTGTTTGTTATACAGTTTTATATTAACTAATGATCACGTTTCGAGCACAAAATATTGCCACGCATAATCATATCAAGGCACTATTCACACAACTTTTTACTTCATTTATATACATGAGTGGAATTGATGATTAGACATTTGAATAAAAATCAATATGGGATAATGTACATTCAGAAATAATAGTAATATGAGTGTTATTCACCAAATACAATCAGATGGGAAATAAGACGAGTGTTTTTTTTTATAGTCAAAATAAGTAACTTGTTAGAATGTTGTGATGTACATGAACTGAAATAGAATTTTAAGATGATTTATTATCCTCCTCTGATTTGACTGACTGACTGGTGGTAATAATATCTTCCATGCATATCTCTGGTATTTGTGTTGAGTCATTTCTGGTGCATGTGTTGTGTTGGGTGCAGACTCGATAAACTAGGCAGGAATCAGTGATCAATCTCTCGCTCTCCGCCTACCTATATTACTTCTTAGAATTTTAACCCTATCCCACCCACCCTATTGTGTGATTGTATGTTGATGCATGCAGTGCTATTGCTGAGCTTTTTTCTAAATTACTTATCTTCTCGGGGTCAACCATTCTTACCTTACCTAAATGCTTATGTTCCCACAATCTGACTGTTCAGCGATTGCAATTCACGCATTAACACACAATCACACAATAGCATGGTGGGATAGGGTTAAGATTCTAAGAAGTAATATAGGTAGGTGGAGAGAGAGATATTGATTACTGAATGCTGTCTGGTTCATCGAGTCTACACCCACCACAACACATGCAACAGAAATGACTCAATGCAAATACCAGAGATATGGAAGATATTATTACCGCCAGTCAGTCAGTCAAATCAGAGGAGGATAATAAATAATCTCAAAATTCTATTTCAATTCACGTACATTATAACATTCTAACAAGTTACTTATTTTGACTATAAAAAACACTCGTCTTATTTCCCATCTGATTGTATTTGGTGAATAACACTCATATTATTATTTCTGAATGTACATTATTCTATATTCTGATTTTTATTCAAATGTCTGATCATCAATTTCACTCATGTATATAAATGAAGTAAAACGTTGTGTGAATAGTGCCTTGATATGATTATGAGTGGCAATATTTTGTGCTCGGAACGTGGTCATCAGTTCATATTGTGGTGAGAGCTGGCTGGTTGCCAAAGTCGGTTGGTAGACAGTAATTAACGTCAATGTTTATGTCCCCAATATTGGTGGTGAGAAAATGATGAGAACAAAGGCTTTGCGTAGGCGGATACAGTTAGCATATGGATGATCTGACACAGCCAGCCACAAAGAGATGCAAGGTTAACTTTCTGTGAGAAACAACCAATCAAAAGACTGTGTTTTTCTACTAACAATAATCTACAATAATGTACATTAAAATCTATAAATATGTGTATTGATTTTCCTTAATAAACGATCTGTTGCCTGGCCCTTGTCTTCTGTTGTCACAATATTACTGTACAACAATACTGTGTGATTTATCAAAATAAAATCTTATCTATATAATGGAGTTATACTCTACCTAAATGTCCAAGTTTTATACTTATATCAATTCAGTAGATCAGGAGATCAACTGGACTGTAATACAGTAGGAATTCTAGAAAATAGATCAGGTGTAATAGTATTGCAAGTGACTACACACAATACAAGCATACAATAGGATGGGACAATATGTTAGTCTTACGGGATAATATAACAGGGTGGAGGGAGAGATTGATAATTGAGGCTTTACTTATCGAACCAACTGAAAATACGTTGCACTAGGAATGATTCAACACCTACCTGTCCACTTAAATATCTGGAAAATTCTACTATTCCTAAGATGAATAATAGGAAGCAATACAGACAGGTATAAAACGAAAGTTTCGAAGTTGTGCGGTTAGTTAGAATAATAATAATAAATTGTCTTCAGAACATCGTCATCCCCAGTGAATCATAATGCTATTTCACTGTGTGATGAATCCAATGAACAAAGTAATAAACAAATTCTATACAGTCAACAGTGTTCAGCCCAAGATTCACAGGTATGTTAACTCTTGAACCTCACTGTTGAGCCAGTAGCAAGCCATGTACGAGCGAAAAGTTGGGCATATTATTATTATTCCCCTGAATTCCGAGTGGAACATACGGCTTCAACGTATGCACAATCCACCTCCATTTGCTCCTACATATTGTTGAGCGATCAGCTCTCGCCTGTTGGTTTGTTGAGCTGTAGAGTCTCTTGTTACTAATTCTTTCTAGCCGGCCGATGGGGGTGATTTGATCTTCAGTATGGAGCCAACCAGCGAAAGTGGCAGCTGTTGATAAGAGGCTGTAACTTGTTGGAAATGCTTTTTTCGTGACAAGTTGGACAAGTTTTTGACCCATATAAAGGAACCAATTTAACATTGGCGTTGAAAATTCGAATCTTGTTATTTATGCGGAGTGCAGAAGATTTGCAAACTGGTTTCAGCTTGATGAAGGCATACTCCTACTTTCCGATTTTAACTGACTTTGACATCGTCATCCGTGCCGTGTGCCTGTAATTGGAACGATGCTTCCTAGATAAGTGAAGGAAGGAAGTAACCTCTGTTAAATCCCTCCCGTTGATGGTGACTGGTGCTGCTTGGTTATCTTCATCACCTACCTCCGTCTTCTCTATGTTCACCTAGAATCCTGTCTTCGCTGTCTGCCTGCTTATTCACCCAACTTGTTGATTTTCGCCTGTAAGCTTACGAGTCTGTGTGTGTGTGTGACATCAAACATAAATCATCGACGCGCGAAATCCAATTCCAGTGGTTTGTAGTATCATTTGATTATTTATTTAGTTAAATTATTCATACTACTCATTAACATAAGTCAGTAGACGAGAAACAAATCGTTAAGAAAAATTTACCACTTATGCAGAAAAAAGATGCTGGTAATATTGAAAATACGAATTAGCGAAAAAAAGAATATTCTCCGCGTATATCAGGCTCTATAATAGCTATATAATAACTATTTCCAACAACACACTATTTTTGGCTTTTAATAATAATACTGATTGATAACGGCGGCCTGCTTAAATCACTGGGCTAATATACCGGAGTTCCCACCCACCAAAATGCTTCAACTATTCAGGATTTCTTATTGTTTCAGTCATAAAACTATATATATATATATATATTGGCTCCACTTACTGAATCTCCTGAGATGGTGGATTTCCCAAATCAACCGATTCACCTAGTACCGTTGCAAATGCCTGAAAAGGGAAAAACAAACAACAGAAGAGTAATAATGCAGTAATGAGTGGACATGAAAAAAGGCTAAATACTGCTACTACTACTATTGTGACGTGTGCTACTGAAAAATTTATCAGTAGTATACGTAAAGAGGTGTTCATCGACACGACAAAAATATCAAAATAGCGGAGACATAGACTGGACGTCAAAAAGAGAGGCTCAAATGAAGAACCAGCGTATTGTGCGGTGAAACATGGGAGACGCCAAACAGAAGAAGACAAAGAAAGAGAATACGCGAACGGGGCAGAAGTAGGGCACAACACAGAAGATCTGTTGTACAAATGACGATTTCAGTATAACACGTATACATAATTTCCCAATAGGGGTATATCAAATTCCTAATAAATATTCCGTTACCAAGGCTTTTGTCTTGGTAACAGGCATAAAATGGACTCACACAAAAACAAACTTGGAGGATCTGGACTTCGCCGATGATATATGTCTGATTTCCAACAAACTGGAAGATATGCAAGCGAAAAGCAACAAGTTGACATAAGAAGCATCAAAGATAGGACTTCAGGTGAACATAGAGAAAACAGAGGTGATGAAGATTCCTGACCAACACCACCAACAGCAACAACAACAACAATAGACAACAATCAGCATAAATGGAAGGAACCTGAAAGAAACAACCTCCTTTACCTACCTGGGAAGCATCGTTTCAACTACAGGCGGATGGAACTGACAAGGATATCAAAGCAAGAATCGGAAAAGCAAGGCAAGCTTTCACTACTCTCAAGTCTGTGTGGAGGTCAACAGCACTCACCATCAAAAATATGATCCGGATTTTCAACTCCAATGTGAAGTCAGTGCTACTTTACGGATCAGAGACTTGTCACGTCATAAAGAGCATCTCAAACAAACTACAGACCTTCATTAACAGTTGTATTCGCTCAATACTACTCAAGATCAGATGGCCGGCGAGAAAAGATCAGAAACAGAGATCTCTGGCAATGAGCGAACCAACCAGGAACCGATTGTGAAACAAATAGGCACGAAGAAATGGAGGTGGTGGATTGGCCATACTCTGAGGAAACCATCAAGTGACATCACTAGACAAGCCATTGCTCGAGTGGAACCCGAAAGGGAAGAGGCGAGTTGGTCGTCAGTGTGGGGGTGACATGGAGGAGGTCATGTGAAGAGGAGATGAAAGCGTGTGGGCAGACTTGGAGCCAGGTGAAGACTCTAGCAGAGAACCGAACGCAATGGAGACGCACGGCTGAAGCCCTATGTTCCTCTAGGAATTAAAGGAAACAATAATAATAATATAATAAGGCTTTTGTCTTCTCCTGTTACATTTGGTGTCGCTACTACTATTTGATGAGAAATTATTACTAGTATTTTCTCCTATCAACTGAACTGACGAGGGTATTACTTCGCAGCTGCCGCAACAACACCGTGGAAATTGATTTCTTCTTGATAAAAAGCTGAAACAGAGTCCAGGCGACAACTGTTTGAGGCCGGTTACATATGATCTTTTTGGATTTGTGTCCGTATTGCCACAAAGTCGAAATGCACAACTTTCGGGACTGGAAAGGAGGTAATAGCTGGGGCGGTTGGTGGTCATTTGAGAGAAACACTTTACTACTGCTACTGTTACGTCCTCACTCACCAGTATATTATGACATCTTTCACAGACCTCCGCCTCCCCTCAACATTATGGCGGTAATTGATTTGAGTCTAATTGCTATCCAAACGACCTTTCTGACATGGCTAGAACCTGCAAGAACACCAGTTCCAGCCAATGAAGATTCTTCGGGTCATTTGTGATTTACAACCCTGATGATGCTGAAGTCAAGTTAGCAGTGATCGGTCAGTGGCGGCGGCAGTGGTGGGGGGCGGAGCTGTCTGCGTCGTGGAACCAAACTTGGTTTCTTTTTAAAATCCCTGACAAGCAATACAGTTGTGTGACCGCAGAGTCGTTTTTCACCTAACCTGACCTGTTGTATATCATCGTTGTAAAATCTTCACTCAATCTGCATGACTTCTCTCCTTTAATGATTTTGCTTCAATATAAACTTCAGATTACACCGAGCAGAGTGACTGCTTCTGTCTGGATTCAACATAGAACTTGGCACCGAAGTGCAGCAGTTCGAGTTGCCACGTTCCAAATAGCACACAAAGGTAGACAAGAAAATGAGTGAAGAGAATCAATAGAGTTTTGACAAGTATAAGAGTGAAACAGAATGAGTAATGGTAGAAAGGAATATGAAAGATTATAGAGACTGAATACATCTGCGTAAGCCATTGACAACGATTTTGAGCCATGTCGCCTATTGTCTCCAGCCATTGATTGAAATTGATGGCGTGGCTTTAGGAGACTATCGATGGTGGTCTTTTGGCTTCCGTCGTTTTCAGTGCACACAGAGTGAAGAGCCATCAAGTAGAGGAGTTGCATTAGTAGAAGGAAGGAAAGATAATAGAGATGAAGATGAAGACAAAGATGAGTGAAGATTAGAGAGGTTTCGCGTGCATTTCGGATTGTGAGGGCGATTGTTACTTCCCGGCTGCCCACACCGTGGAAGTTGGTTGCGTGACCTCAGAGCCCAGGGGACAACTGCTTGAAGCCGGTGGTCACAAGCGGCCTGTTTTTGTTTGTTCTTTTTCATTTAGTGTGTTTCAGTAGCATGTTTATCACCTGTGACACGGCAGCAGGAATCGCGGTCGTTGTTAATCCGGGCCACGATCGATCCGGCACGATATTTTGTGATTTACTTTGGAGTCATAGCATTGGATTGGGTAACTGCTTTTTGTCTAACCGCTATCCAAACAACCTTTCTGGCATGGTAGGACCTCAAGCAATATAAGTCTCAGCCGGTATAGCTTGTTGGGTCATTGCGGTGTTCAAGCCCGACCACCACCACGTCAAGGTAGCAGCTTTCGATCAGTTTTCAACAATAACATATGCTATTGCCACCGACGTAATGCAGTGAACAATGAAATAGGTGGGCTGTCATGAAACTAGGCGGGGGACCCTTTCAATGTTGATACAATCGACAAATGACCAAGTCAATTTAATGCCCAAGTGATGATTGCACAACTCATCCTCATTACAGCACTAATCTTATGTTGAACCGGAGTAGGAGTAGGAGTGACTGCTTCGCCTTAGACTGTGTTTGTGGTTCTTGAAAATAGAGAGTTCTGATCTCAACTCGGTTGTGGGAATGCTCTAATTGATTCTGAGGTTTGCCATGTTTGTGTTTCGTTAACTATTGTATGGCCTCCTATAAACAAGCTGATATGGTCGAGAGTGGGCAGACGAATTTCGCCCTACTCCTCTCGAAATGGTCTCACGTGAGCAAGGCATTCACATAGTCTCTCTGTCAGGTAAGTCATATTCACCGCCTACATGTGGTGGAGATGTTCCTAATATAGGTGAGAGTGAATACGAACGTCAACAGCATATAACAGGACTGGTTGGTGGACATGCAGATGTACACCCTGATTCCAAACCTATGATGAGTACATGGTTGCTCAAGAATCCGTACAGGTAGAATAGTGTATGTGTGAACCTGTTTTAGTCACCACCAAATAATGGGAAAGCAGCTCCTGACGCTGTTTCACTATCCCCGACCGATAGCTGCTACCTTGACGTGGTAGTCGGGCTGCACTGGCTGGAACCAATGTTCCTTCCTACCATGCCAGGAAGGTTGTTAGGATAGCGATTAGACTAAAAGCAGCTATCGGCATTGTGTAAGAACAGGGGCGTAACAGCAGTGAAGTGTTTCCCTCAGATGACCAGCATGCCAGCCAGCTATGTTGTCTCTCCACTCTGGAGAGAGGGGGTTAGAAAAGGTCGACTCCAAAAATTGTACATCCCGACTTACCCCACCTACGGTGGTCCGTAACCGGTGGTAAGTTTACAAATACGGAACCAATCCCAGAAGCCAGTTCATACAGGCCGTGGGTGACCGGCCTCAAGCAGTTGTCCCCTGGGCTCTGCGGTCACGCAACACTAACTCTCTTTCTGTTTCAGGTACCCGAAGAATCAATCAACTTCCACGGTGTGGGCAGCCGGGAAGTAACAACCTCCTAGACACTTCCAAGAGCACACTTGCTGTTTCACTATCTTGTATATCAGACTTTATATCAAAAGCTCGACGGCAAGGCAAAATGGCCCCCCTAAGACAACCACCTGTTTCCGCGTCTAGACATTCGAGCGATATCTTGTCCTTCGCAAAAGCCTATTAGACAACAATTTGAGTGGTAATCAAAAGTGTGATAACATACACACACACAAACACACAGATACTTACCATTAGCCAGTCGTACAAGTTGACCATTGTTGATGTTTCAATTAACAATTTGTATAAAATACATAAATCGAATAATTTTGATGAAGTACTCTGTGACATGGATAATTTCAATTCAGGAATCTATTATAAGAAGCAAAAACAAGGCGTACACAACAACTACAACAATCAAATCGTTATATTAATGTAAGCAATAAGCAAAAGAAAAATTGTTAAATGCATCCACTAGTTGTGTGTCAGTCCTTCTAGGTGAAGACGACGCTGACAAAACGCAGTCTTCTGAACACCTTGAGCTGCAATCTTCGAATGTTTGGAATGCGATTCGCTCCCGCCAAATGGACTACATTAACTCACTCCTAGCTTAGAGATAGAGAGTGAAGTGGTTTGATGGAGCGTGTTGACCACTTCACTTATTGGGGGAGTTGCATCAGGCAGCGCCAACGGGTTGATCGCTGACTAAATCTCAGAACGGATACAGAAGGCTCGTTTCACATATGTCAGTTTAAGCCGTCTCTGGTTTAGCAGACGTGATATCCGACTGGCTGTCGACCAAGGGACGTGTGTACTGATCAGCTGCAGTTTGCTCCGTCCTCCTTTATTGCTGCAAGTGAGACATAGCCGTTGAGAGTGAAAAACATGAAAAGGCTAGCTAGCTGTCTTTGATCATAAATGCCTGCGTCCTATCTCCAGTGTGAATTGGTATAGTAGGGTAAGCAAGACTGAGATTAGGCGTTGGTCGAGTGCTAGGTAATGAGGGGAAATCAACAGACGAGGCTGTGAAGCTACATCGACTGAGATGGTTAGGACATGTGTTACGCATGCGTAGCCTAGCCTTCCTAGACAATGGGCAATGTTAGCTGATATAGGATCAGGTTGGAAAAGAGCTATCGGTGGTCAAACCAAAACATGGATTCATCAGTCAATGAAATCCATGAGTTAGTTAAATCCAGTTAGTTAAATCCCATCAATATTTCACAGATATTTTCTCCCGTTCAGTTTGTTGAAATCTGATATAATATGACCATTAATTACGTTTTATACTCTGGTGAGTATTTAATGTGCTTACAACTTGCTGATTCGCAAGTTTCTAGTTATCGTGAGAAAACAAAACATAATCGTGGGGGTTTGGGTGTATTGCAATGTAAGAGATAGCTAGCTAGCTGTTCTTAGGGGTTCTGTCCTTGGTTCACAGAATGGATTCCTGAAACCTTTCTAATTGCCATTCAACCAAATTACAACATTCATTTACAGACGAAGAAGACAAAAAGGGAGGGACATCATAATTTCTTGGTGTGCGCTTCAGATGTCAGGCAGAAGTGTTTCACATGGTCTACCGTGTCACGTGATATTTTATTTGAAAATCCTGAATGAAGAGGAAATCTTATGCTGAGAATTTGTACAATGTATAAACTCTGTACAAAAGAAAGCTATCACTATTATTATTATTATTAGTTAGACCTGTAAAGAATAAAAGACTGATGAGGCTCGAAAGCAATGTCTATTATCTCCAACTCATAGTAGGTACATAAATTCGGTATACCATACCTCCAATGCTTTCTATGCACATCACTTGCAAAGTGGACGAATAGCACCACATTCGATAGCTTGTTGGATGATTCTGCACAGTGTCTGTAACGTTCTTCTCACAATTCTCTTCTTCGATTGCTTTTTTCCAGTGCCCCCAAAACATATTGTAACTTTTCTGAATTCGTTTACTATTATACTACTTATATCTGATTATAAGTAGCACTCACCACAAACCCAGAAAAGAGTATCGGTTAGGCATGTGGCTAACATTCCCATTTTTTTTTTAAGAAAAGCAATACAAATGCCACTGAAACTTCAAAGTCTGAGACCTTTTGTTCCTTAACGAAATGCGTGTCAATGAAGAAGTAAATCACATGTCACAGTTTACATGGCATCAGTCCATAAAATGTTAGACAGTTGGTTTGAGCCAGACATGTAAGGCGGTGTAGACTGTTTCCTGATTGAGTTCTTCAAGAGGCTAAGAACCAATGAAGGCTGGAGAAAAATGGGTGATATGACTCAAAATCATTATCAACGGAGTAGATGAATTCACTCTTTATGTGAACTCCCATATTCACTACATGTTGGAACTCAGGCAATCAGTCAGTCAACCCAACTAGGCTGAAGTAGGGAGACCGGGGCCCGAACCAGTGTGACCCATCATCGGCTGAAGATCGTGTGGCTTAAGCCAGACAGTCAATGATCCACATTTCCACAATCAGACCACCTTTCTATGTAACCGTCAAGTGTAGATTTGCAGGGATTTGATTGGCTATAGGATTGATCACCAGCTGACATCAGTAAGTGAACCATTGGAAGACCAGTACTAGAGTACTGGGCAGCTGTTTCGTCCTACTTTAGAGCGCTTCATCAGTACACAGCCACTGGAGTTCGAACCCAGTCCCACAACCAATCAAATCCCTGAGAACCAACACTTGATGATCTGATTGATCTGATGCTCATTAGAGACCGACCCTATATACAGCAAGTACCCGGGCTTCTAGTGAGAAATCGTAACCAGCAGGGTCCATCAAACCAGATACGAGGACAGTTACTCTTGTCCGTGATGTTGGAGGGCAGAGGTTGGACTACGCAAATCATTTATTTGACACGGGTCCCAGTGGCTTAGCTTAATGGGTCTACTAGCGCTCATCATGTACCCGGAAGGTCCTGGGTTCGAACGCCCCCACCTCCCGCCCCCCAAACTAGGCTGACGAAACAGCTGTCCAATACTCCTCAGGTATTCTCTCTCCAATGGTTCTCTAACATAAATAATCAACAGTAACAACAACAACAACAAAAGGTACCATAGATTGTATAAAATATAAAAACAAAAAACCTGTAAATAGATGGCAGGATTAATAAGTGCTTGTTGTAAACATCGTTGATAGGTGGGATTGAGACGACGTCTAATGAATGCTGATGATTGTGAATGGATTGATGATAGATGAGTAGTGTTCGTGAGTGCAGTGCTACTACTATTGCTACTACTGCTAGTGCTAGTGCTAGTGTCATAGGATAATGGACCATAGAATACTTCATGTAAGGGTAATTTATTCATTATCGGAATTAATTCGTTGATTTTTGCTTGGATCCATTGAAGAAATTCTTTACGTGTTATATCCCATTCTGTTTTATTATATGAACTCGATGTAGTTGTCGGTGTTGGTGTTGTTGTGATGTTGGAACGACTAGGCGATGCAGCGGCATATTCTTGAAGGTGCTATATAAATATTAGAAAGAAAAAAAGAAAACAAAACAAAGAAGCTTAGACTAGTAAATGAATCCCCATTCCTCAAAAGTAAACGGAGAATAAAATGTTAACATACAGCAATATATTTGAACCTTTAGTAACGGGAACTTGTTCAAAACGAAATTTATGATTAATGTTACACACACACACTCGAAGACTTTCAAGCAGGCGAAAACAAACAAACTGGCTCAAGAGGCAAGCAGCGAAGACAAAAGTCCAGGTGAACATAGAGACAGAGATGAAGATAACCAAACAACCAACAAACAAACAACAGCAATAGCAACCAGCACCAATCACCATCATAGGGAGAGATTTAACAGAGGTTGCCTCCTTCACTTATCTGGCTAGGAAGCACAGTTTCAAATACGGGCGGCGGAAGGGATGAATATATCTAAGCCAGCCAACCAGCCAGGGTTGGAAAGGCAAGATACGCCTTCACCAACCTGAAACCAGTATGGAAATCTTCTCCACTCCCCCTCAGCATGAACAGCAAGATTCGGATTCTTCTATACAAGTCAGAAACATGGCTAACGCGTCACGAAAAGGATTCTAACAGATCACTGAAGACTTTAATCAACAGCTGCCAACTTCGCTGGCTGGCTCCATACTGAAGATCAAATGGCCAGCAGGCAAATCAGAGAGAATTAGCAACAAGAAACTCTGGCTGGCTGGGAACAAACCAATCAAGAAGCGATCGGTCAACAAATATATTGGAGGAAATGGAGATGGATGGATCGGGTATTCGCTGAAGAGACCGTCTAATGACATCGCGCTCAGTGTAAGTCACCGCCCAAGTGGAATCCGAATGAGAAGTGATGGGTGGGTCAATTCGATGGTGACATGGAGGAGATCGTTTGGCGAGGAGATGAGAGATTATGGGCAATCATGGACACAGCTGAAAAGGACAGCAGCAAACAGAACAAATTGGAGATGTGTTGTTGAAGCCCTATGTTCCACTTGGAATCCAAAGGAATAATAACAATAAGAATAAAAAACGAGAACCAAATATTTGGCAGAGGAAACAGTGAAGACAGGAGCTCAGGCCAAATGCACAGAGAAGATAAAGGTTATGTGAAGACATTCAATCGATAAGAACAAGTATCAGCCACTATTAATAACGGATGGGGTGGAGGCCGATCAGAGTTGCCTTTTTCACTCATCTACACACACATTGTGGCTGTGGATGATGAGGATTTCAAAACTAACCACGAACAAATCGGAAAAGCAAGATAACCCTTTACTATATTCTGAAAGCAGTGTGAAAATCTGCTACACTCAGTATTACGAAGAAGATTTGGATTTGCAACACTAATGTGAATCAAACCAGTCAGTCAGTAATTCTGTATGCTTCAAGGACTTGCTACGCATGCACATTGGCCAAAAACATTCTCAACAGGTTTTTGAAGACTTTCATCAAGATATGTCACCTTCGCTGAATATTGAAAGTCAGATGTGGCCAGAAGGAATAAGCCACCATAAGGGACTCTGGCAACCAGCAAATCAACCGAAAACCTGCAGAAGGAGATGGGGATTGGACATATATGCTCAGGAGACCATTACAGATTCTCAAGTGAAATCCATAAATATAAAACAACGAGTTTGGTGTGACTCTGAAGGTGACAAACATGGAGGAGATCATGTGACGAGGAGATGAAAGAGTATGATGGAGAAGATTTGTAGATCAGGTGGATGATTTTGATGTGGTTGTGTTCTCTGAGCTGGATAGTTAATTTGCGAAGCTTTCATTGCCCCGCCACTAGGCGACATCTTCAGCGCATACTTCGTGAACGTCTTCCAAAAGAATCGATATCCACGAAATTTCATCAGAAGACATATACCCCCAAGCCAACCTATCAAACCAAAAGCCCCCAAGGAAAGCACAAAGAAAGTCACCCTACCATAAATAAAGGACATCTCAGAATTCACTGCAAGACTCTTCAAACCCTTAGGAATTGACGTCACACACAAACCAACAAAATCACTTCACTCATTTCTATGTTAACCAAAAGACTCAACAGCGAAAGAAGATAAAACCAACATCATGTACAAAATAAATTGTAACAACTGCGAAAAACACTACATTGACCAAAGTGGACACCCCTCTTCTTCGTCTTCGTATCCACGATCATAAGCTAACCGTCAAAAGACATGACATCCACTCCTCCATATCACTACATACAGACAACCACGGGCATCATTTCGATTGGGACAATCACCGTTCAAATATTAGACAGAGGAAACAACAAGAATGCTAGAGAATTTTTAGAACCTTCGCATTCCAGTGAATCATCAATCAATAGACACATCGAGATTGACAAAATTTATCAACCGATAAGAAAGAAACCTCACACACAAAGGGTCAAAGTTCAAGTCAAAGAAACAATCAATTCCAATACAAGTAACCCAGAAGATGTGAAAACACACAAAAACAACCAATCACGCCCAAGGTCACCGGAGAGATGATTAATAAACTCGTGGAGAAATCTAAAAGCTCACTTCAAATTGAGGTATGCGCTGAAGATGTCACCCAGTAGGGTGATGAAAGCTTCGCAAATTAACTATACAGCTAGCTCAGAGAACACAACCACATCAAAAAGATGAAAGAGTCTATGAGCAGTGGTGGAACCAGCTAGTTTTTCAAGTGATAGCAGAGATGGTTCAATGGTACAATACTCAGCAATCACAACACCGCAAGTAATCCAGAGGTCGATTCCCAGCCGACGCACTGTTAAACCTAGCTGATTAGTTGGTACTACTAATCCAGGTAAAGAGGGAAAGTTGGGTGTGCGAGACTGTCGAACCCACCCACCCCCCTCAGTAGAAGAAAAACACCACCTTCGATGAAACTTCCAAGCCTGAAGCTTGAAGCCTTACATAGTCCACTCGAAAAGCAAAGGAGAGTAAGATAGTAGCATGGTACATTGTGCATTATTGTGTTGTTTTCTTAGAATTCAGTTACGCAGCACCAGGTTATGAGCCACATTTATCGTTTATTATTATTATTCGTTCGGGTTGTGAGTGGAACATACGGCTTCAACAACATATCTGTTAGAACTGCTACATTGCCAGTTGTTTAAATATAGTGTAAAAGATGTCTTTAAAATTTGTTGAAAACATTAAAGATATGAACCTAGCAGACAAAACTATGTTATCGTTGGACGTAACATCACTATTTACCAACGTCGCCCTTGTAGAAACTGTCGACTACATATGCGAGCAACTCGTAGAAAAGAAAATAGAAATTGGGATCACACCAAGAAAATTGAAAGAATTACTACTAAAATGCACTATGAACGTTCAATTTGTATTTAATAAGGAGTATTACCGCCAAATAGATGGGGTTGCTATGGGTTCTCCCCTTGGTTCCTTATTAGCTGACATATTTCTATCTAAATTGGAAAATGGTCCTTTAAAAGAGATACTAAACCAACTCGATTATTATTGTCGATATGTTGACGATACCTTTATCATTTGTAACAATAATTTGGATAGACAACACCTGCTCCAAGTCTTCAATAAGGTACACCCAGCTATTAAATTCACTTGTGAAGAGGAACTCCAAGGTAGTATTCCATTTCTGGATGTTCTTCTTACAAAAAGAACAGACGGTACCTTAAAGAGAAACATCTATAGGAAAGCGACGTGGAATGGACAATACACCCACTTCCATAGCTTCATACCTGTACAATATAAGCGCAACCTAATTCGTTGTCTTAGTCATTGAATTAGACGCATATGTACCGACGACTGCATTGAAGATGAAAAAAAATCTTACAAACGCCTTGCTACAAAACGACTATCCTACCAACTTTGTAAAGAAGTATATCTATGAAACTACACATAAAACCAAGCGAGACACAGTAAGTAAGAAAAAGCTTTACTTAAATGTACAATTCAAAGGCGATATATCCAGCGATATATTAAACCGTAGATTAACGAGATCAATTGAAAGAACTTTTAATGCCGCAAAACTGCATTTCAGCTTCCCAACCAAACCGATACTGACACTGTGCATTAAAGATAGATTACCCAAAATGGCGACATCAATGTGTGTATATAAATTCAACTGCTCCTGTGGAGCTAGTTATATAGGTCGTACCCAAAGGAATTTATCTTTACGCACTCGTGAACATATTCCTGTTTGGCTTGGGAAAAGAACAACCAAATCATTAAATAGTGCAATTCTGTCTCATCTAGTGGATAGTGAACACAGCATCAAAGTAGATGAGTCATTTACAGTTGTGTATCGAGTACCGAACAATCTCCCCAAAGGCATACGATTACGCCTCCTAGCCATAGCTGAGGCTTTAAAGAGAGAGACCAGACCTATGTGTACAGGAAAAACTTATTCACTCTCTTTGTCTACCCTGGCCCACTATAAGGTCACCAGGATCATAATTTTTCGTACTATTATTATCATTATTATCATTTTGTGATATCATGTCTTTATTATCCATTTCTCCACCCAGTTTATTTCACCTCATTGTTACCCTTAATTTTTGTCAACATTTATGATTTTATACTAAGCCTACCAATTCTGTAACATCTTGTTACAATTTACAATTTAGCTTCTTTATTTATTTTATCATTAGACATTATCGGTCAGCCCTCACATTCAGTGTCCCCTTTGTTAATGTGTGTTTGTATGTATTTTGTGGTTATCGCATTTCTCTCACCCCAATGACACTTGTATTCTGTTGACTATAAAACAGCACTATATCACCCAATTGTTCATTCACACTTCATCACATTTTTCTGACTATACACACCCTATACACATTTGATTGACTATGTTAACTAATGGACTATCATCTCAACTTACACATGCACCCCAATACAGTTTCTAATATTATTTTCATTTGCCTTTATTGGCTATATGTGTATTCTATTATTCATGGATTTATAACTGTAGAGCCTGAAGAAGAAGTTATCGAAACCAATTGTTCGCTCAAAATCTTGTTTTGATTTCAATATGGGAATTTTTCATTTACTGAAAGTAGTTGATACAACTGGAAAAAGTGGACGTCCACTGCAAATTCTAATCCAGTAGCATAAACTAGCCGTCAAAAGACACAACATGGTTTAATGGTTTACGAGCTCGCCAGCCTTGTAACCAGAAGGCCTTGGGTTCGAACCCTGGCGGTGGGTTCGTGCTTCTGAGGAGTCCCAAACTAGGCTGACGAAACAGATGGCTGTCCAGTACTCCCTGCTGGTTTTCCAATGGTTCTCTAACCAATGTCAGCTCATGCGAAATCCTTTAACCAATCAACCAAAACCCTACAAACCAATACTTCAATAGCAATGAGTTGCCCACCAGCGACTGGCCATGTTCAGGTAGGTAGTTACCTGGGGTTCTAGTAGGAAGTCGTGACCAGTAGGGTACAGCAGGTCGGGCGTGAGGACAAATACTCGCCAAAGACATCGCGGTGAGTGGTCGCGCTATGTCGTATATCCATTTATATTAATACATGTGTAGAAACAACTAAGGGCAACAGGTTGACTGGGAAAATGTGAAAATTTCAAAACTCGAAAATACTAAAGACGTCAGAGAATTCCTATAGGCCTGCTACTTGAATCAATCTTCAATCAACGGACACACATACATTGACAAAGGTCAAACATCAAGTCCAAGGATAAGAAAAACCCCTTAAAACAAAAACAATCAATCACAAATCAAAGTTACTGGAGGGAAGTAATTCTAACATCCACAGAATATTCTACACACACACACACAAAATCACTTAACACTGAAGTCAGAGTTGAAGATGTTGTTGTCTAGACAGATAAGGAAAACTTCACAAATTAAATCAGCCAGTTCGGAGAACACGAAAGAGCTCATGTACATGGACAGGTCCATGACACACATAAACATACACATTTAGACAATGAAATAAAACAATAATGCGTTATACGTATGGTTGCCTTGGCAACTGCATTTATAGTTTGTTTTACATTAATTACGTAACCATCCCTACATATTATTGATTTCAATCCTACAAACTATACACATATTGGGTTGTTGTGTAATTATTATAAGCCAGTAAAAAATTATCATCCTCCTTGTTTATCTGTTTTTTCTGCCTTAATCCCCCCCCCCAATGCCGTCACTTTTTAATTCGAAATGGATACACACAACTGGTAATGAGCAAGGAATGAAACAACCTCCTTTACCAACCCAACTATCTATCTGGGAAGCATCGTTTCAACTAGAGGCGGAGGGGATTGATGGGGATATCAAGGCGAGGATAGGGAAAGCAAGACAAGCTTTCATTACTCCCAAGTCTGTGTGGAGGTCAATACTGCACTCACCATGAAAAATAAGATCCGATTTTCAACTCAAATGTGAAGTCAGTACTACTCACTACTCAGATCAGAGACTTGGCACTGCGTTACGAAGGGCACTTCGAACAAACTACACACCTTCATCAACAACTGTCTTCGCTCAATACTACTCAGGATCAGATGGCCGGCCAGAAAAAAATTAGTAACAGGGAGGCATCTCTGACAATGAACGAACCAACCCATCAGGAACCGATTGTGCAACAAATATGCAGGAAGAAATGCAGGTGGATTAGCCATAATCTGTGAGAAAACCATCAAGGGACATCACACACCAGGCTATCGATCGAGTGGAACCCGAATAAGAAGCGGCGAGTTAGTTGGTCGTCAGTGCAAGGGTGACATAGAGGAGGTGATGCGAAGAGTAGATGAAAGCATGTGGACAGATATGGAGCCAGGTGATGAAGACGTTGAGCTGAAGCAGTATGTTCCTCTAGGAACTAAAGGAAACAATAATGATAAATAATGAGGAACCAAGATGGATTGAACAAACACTGAGGAGACCGTTGAATGACAAGCCTTTAAAGTGGAATGCGAATAGGGAACGACGACAAGTTAGGCATCGGTTCGAAGGTGTTATGAAGGATATCCCTATGAGCAGAAGAAGGAGAAGGGGGAGGAGGAGGGAGTAAGAGCTTATAGGCAGTCGTTGAACCAGCTAAACAGGACTGCAGAGAATAAGATCCAGTGACAATGTGCTGTTGAAGAAGCCCTGTGGTTTCACTCAGAACGGACCTCAAGGGAATAATATTTATTTTTTATTTTTTTTATTCCTTCACGTCCCATTTGGAACATAGGGCTTCAAGCATCTAGGTTGAAGTTTCTGTAGCAGGGTTTATTTTTACAGGATGGGGTTGCTAGCCTCATGCCCAACCTTTCCTCTTCACCAGAATTATTTCTGACTTAACGAGGTAAAGGAGTGCGCCGGCCGGGGATCGAACCCCGGACCATGTGCATGGTCAGCGAGCGTCCTTACCGCTATGCCACCAACGCACTCAAGGGAATAATATATAAATAACAATTCTTGTTTTAAATTCTCCTAACTATTAAGATGTTTTAATGAAACTTTTCGTCACAAAACCATCAGATTCTATGGACAACCGGCTGAATTTTAGGTGTCTACAAAACACTCAAAAGTGTAAAACTTAATAACTTTGCCAGCTGATACTTATGACATGGTAGATGAGACGGTGGAGGTTGAGGCAGGTTCTCACACACAAAGAGGGTATCTAACTTGCTCAAACTTATTCAGTTCCCCTGATAGGTCTTTCATGTTCCAGGCTATGAGTCATGCACACTGATATTATGTGTAAGGATCCAATGGTACTAAGCAGTTGCCCCTAGGCTCAAGTAAAATGGATTGGGATTCGAACCCTAGGACACATTTGGTTGAAAGCTGAGTTCTTAAGCCGATGAGAGCCAGATGTGTGTACGTGTTTATTTTATGAGTGAAATATTACAAAATGAGCAAAACTGATAGATCAATCGAGCAATATCAAAACAACAAAAAAACAGAAACAACAAACCTGACGTAAATTACGTAAGCTTATTTTACGTTTTGTATTGAAACCACTGAATGATTTAGTTGACTGAGGGGTAGATGATTCAGATTCATTGGACTGTTGTTGCAGTTGCGATTGTTGTTGTTGTTGTGGCTTGTTCATTGGTTCTATAAAAGAAGAAACAGATATTTTCAATGTTGCTGTGCCCAGGTAGGGAGTTCAGTGACACGCGTATCGAAGTCATGTAGTTAAATGAGAGTCTACGGAGAGTTTTCGTCCGATAACTGTGATAACAACCAGTGGCGTCCGTCACGGATGCCAGCCCACTGTCCCAATTTCTGTTTAATTTCATCATCGATGTACTAATAGACTTAATCCTAACTGACCTCACCTTACGCCATCTCTGACGCAGATGTGATATCCAACTGACCGTCGACCAAAGGAAATGTGTACTGCTCAGTAGCAGTTTGCTCTGTCCTCCTTCATGGCTGGCTGGCTGTGAGACATGGCCAGTGAAATTGGAAGACATGAAAAGGCCGGCTAACTGTCTTTGATCATAGGTGTCTGCATTCTATCCTCCATGTTAGGTGGTATAATAAGGTCAGCGATATTGAGACGACGCTTCGGTCGAGTGGTAGGTAAGGAGGGGAAGTCAATCAGCGACGAGGTTGTGAAGTTACATCGATTGAGATGGTTAAAATATGTGTTACGCATGCATTGCCAGTCACCACCTTCCTTGATTAACAATTTTACCTGACCTATAGTCAGGTTGCAAAAGAGCTAGTGGTGGTCAAACCAAAACATGGCAACAATTCATAAAATCTTTGACAGGTGATTCGAACCAGCCATGTAAGGCGGTGTAGACTGCTTGCTGGTTGGGTTCTTCGAGAGGCTAAGAACCAATGAAGGCTGAAGACAATTGGTGATATGGCTCGAAATCATTCTCAATGGAGAAGATGCATTCACTCTTTGTTACTTGTCAGTTATATCAAATAAAACTCTGTTCTTCGCATTTTTCTCTCCACCCGCTGCTGTATAGCTAGGTATATAGACGATTCTGCGGTAGGTCATTTTAAAACGTGTTAGACGACATTACCTACCCAACATGGCTGCAAAGATGTCGCGGTACTGTTTAATTCAATCAGAAGAGCTATTATGATGGAACATCTCATCAGCTCCTCTTAAAGCATCTCAACTGACTCGCCATTCAGAGTCATTCGCTAAGTAAACAAAAGTCTGCCAAAGGCATTCTCATTCCGAATTCTTTGAACTGCAGAGAAACCAGAGCTAAAGGTTCAAAGGAAACTAGTTCGACCTCTACATTTATCATGCATTAAGCTCCGTTTGACACTTCAGTTTTCCCTTATTTGATTTTTTTTATTCCCTTCTTCTCTTTATCTTCAGTTATAACAAGAACTATTATTTCAATTTTTTCTATGCACATCCTGTCTGAGTTAAAAACAACTATTTTATAAATTACGCAACTGTTGTCTGATCCTACGTAGGTTTATCCCTATACCCCCTCCCTTGTAATCTATATTCATGATCATTGGTCGACGGTGACTAGCAGTGGAATCCAGGACAATGCACTTTTCGTCCTGTTTGGGACTCGTCATCTGGATGTACCTGCATTTCTCAGTGAGTGATGATGTTCCCACCGAGGCTCGAACCCAGTGCCCATAGTTTCAAACGTCAAAGCGTTATCCTCTACACTATTTGGACCACGAGAGCTGGCCACCTCTTGTGCAACGGGTCATATTTATTATTTAATTCAATCGACGCGGAAATCTAAACTTGGATTAAATAATCAATATGACCCATTGCACAAGAGGTGGCCAGCTCTCGTGGTCCAAATAGTGTAGAGGATAACGCTTTGACGTTTGAAACTATGGGCATTGGGTTCGAGCCTCAGTGGGAACATCATCACTCACTGAGAAATGCAGGTACATCCAGATGACGAGTCCCAAACAGGACGAAAAGTGCATTGTCCTGGATTCCACTGCTAGTCACCATCCACCAGTTGGCTTCAAGTTACATGAAAAGACATCGTCGGAGCATATGCACAAAGAGCCGACATGTCAACCTAAAACCGACCACTTCGGTTCAATCATTCGATGGGTAAGACTAAAACTGAATTAAATATATATTCATGATACCTTCAAACTTTCATATCAATTTGAAAATCATTATCACCCTTAATCTCTTTTTGTTATTATGTTGAATCAAATAAATAATATTTAAGTGTTGATTTTCAGGGATTTGACTGGCTACAGGATTTCATCATGAGGTGATATCGGTTAGAGAACCATTGGAAAACCTGCAGGGGAGTATTGGATATCTGTGAATTGGCAGAAGTTGAAATTCATGGGCTAACCACTGGATCGTGTCCCAATGGTTTAGTGGTCGTCTACGAGCTCACCTTGTAGCCAGAAGGTCCTCGGTTCGAACCCCGTTGGATGTGTGCTGCTGCTGAAGAGTCCCAAAACTAGCTAGGACGGAACAGCTGTCCAGTACTCCCTGCAGGTATTCTAATGGTCCTCATGATGAAATTCTATAAATAAATAATATTCCTAACTATGTGAACAATTATGCATATAAATGCGAGTGTACAGTTGCTTTTGAGGATGAAATCGCAGTAGGTCGCTATCTGTCCTACTATATTTTACGGTTGAATGTGAAGATTTTATTAGCCACAGGCATCGAAATGAGATGGTGGCAGGTGAGAACGAAAAATTCAATCAATAAAGTTGTAAACACTCCATCAATTTAGGTAGCTAAGTCACATATCATACAACATGTCAAGATATCAGCTTCCATGGCGATGATTCAAGTACGATTTGATTAGTACAAAGTTGTTATTGATGCTGAGAAGAAAATATGTCACTACTCCATGAAGTCAATCGTAAAGCGGGTGTCCCTTTCGACGAGTCTGAATCTAAGATCACGAACTAGTTGTCAAAAAACACGACATGGATTCTTTCACACATCAATGTATATTGACAACTTCGAACAACAATTCGACTGGGAAAGCGTACAAATAAGTCTTAGACAAAAGGAAACACCAAGAACGCCAGGGAATCCCTGGAAGAAAGCTACTCAGACGGAACTACAAACAACAGACACACTAAACAAACAGTCCTGTTGTAACGGTGGAAGACGAGAGACTTGGTAAAGGAATGTTTATCAGGGAATTCGGTATCTCTATATGAAGCGAAATTATGTACAACACCGCACTATTTGCACAGATCTCCCGTGTTGTGTTACTGCTGGCCTTCATATTGTATTACCTTGTGTTACTTTCATGTCTCTCACATGTATATCCGCAACGGTGTATCATGAAATCTATCTCCCTGCTATTTGACGTTTTTATGCCGATGAACGTGTCTTTATATACTACTGATAAATCTTATCAGTAGTAAACGCCACAATATGATACAGAAAGGAGTCGAACCCTAAGTCATTAAAAACAGTCAACACTTAACACAAAAGATGTTGTCTACCCAGACAATGAAACGTCCGTAATCAAACCACCAACCGGTAGCTCAGAGAACACACACAAACATATAAACTGCCTAGTTAGAGACTCTGGATAGTGACAGCTGGCAGTCCTTTACAATGGCGAGGATGAAAATATTCACCAATTCTCAATTTCATTCCCCTCCCACCTACACACCATCCATTTTAGTTTCATTAAAATTCTTTCCTTTACTTTTCTGTGTCTATCTTTCCACAGGATGACAACTTTAACTGTACCGCATTTATTTTGTGAAAAAGTTCCACACCGACTAGTCAAATGCTTCGACGAGTAAGACATCAGGTGCTTGACTTGACTTCAATCAATCCAATTAGTCCAAGAGGGTTCAAAATCTCATTCGACATACTTCACAATCTCAAACACCTTTCAATCTCTCCTTTCTACATATAGGACCACCACCAAGTGGGAAATAACAAGTTAGGTATCCCCGGGGAGAGATAAAAGCTTACAGACAAGCTAGAAAATGGACCGCAGAGTATGGGACAATATGGACATGGGCTGCTGAAGCTCTCTATGTTAAACAGTTGAAACTCAAGAGAATAAAAATAATCGACACTCACTAACCTTGACTCGCTACTGACAATTTATTATGCCATTGAAGAGTATCATGAGTTAAATTATTCAAGCATGCCCTGCCATCTGATTCAATCGATGCTAATGCTGATGACCATAACGAAGTGTTCTTTGTAGACGTAGAAGGTGTAGAACAACCAGAAGTGGATTCATTCAACAAGTAGGCATATGCTTCATGGATAGCATTGACAAAGGCTTCTTTCGATATACCACTATAACACATGTGAATGAAAAGATAATAGTCGGTTTAGTAGAAAACAGCAAATAACAGACACGTAGATAGATTATACGAGAAATATATTGCAATGGTTGTATTATTAGTATATTATTATTATTATTATTATTATTATTATTAAAATACGAGTGCAGCACAATTATGGAAACCAAGAATTGCGCCACACTAAATCTCATTGTTTGTGCGAGGGCGGACTCCTAGACCAGAGCAGATAATAATAATAATAATTTACTTTATTCCAAAAACAGTACTTGTGATACAGAATGGAATTTTCAGCACTAATCACAATATTCCATCTAATTTCCTCAAATTATAAATTAAAATTAGTCACGCAGAAAATTTTCCACATTTACAATAAGGGTAATATCAAAAAAAACATGCAGCATATAAAATGGAAATAATAATGATGATAGCAGCTAAGGTAATAATAATGATACAAGTGAAAATTGCCGTGAGCTTGTTTCACGCAGTACTGTCGATGCGGTATACAAATCCTTGCATGATTAAAAATATTGAATACAATGTTCTCCTTACATGATATGGTGAGGGGAAAAAAAAGATTACAGTAATCATAGAGATAAGTTGGCGTTTGCAGTTATGAAAGTAAAAACAAAGAATCAACAGGACCATAAATATAATAGAAATAATAAAAGTAAAACTTGAAGGTATATAAAGATGGATGGAGGAGATTGTTTATTTACTAGATGAAAAAAGGTTAGTCAATTCTTGCCTGACGCTATTTTCATCACGTAAAATACGTGATACTTAGACGTGCGAGCATACAGTTTTCTGAAGTTACTTCTTGTTCTACCTGAGGAGATGAGATGCAAGGTGAAAGCTGAGGGTGAAGTGGATGCTCCAAGTCATACAAAATCCCTTTGGCAAATTTACTGCACGAAGTCAAATGCCTATCAACAACGACGTTAACTATGTAGTCCACTGGGACACCACTCATCCTACTGACAGTCTTCAGCATTCTACGAATTGTGACATAGTCCTTTTTAAGCAAACCAGGAAAGAATAAGGGTGAACAATAAAGAAGAATAGGTAGGATGCAAGAGTTTATGAACTGTAAGAGGAGGGGGTTATCTTAAGAGATCATCTCCACCTCCAAGCTTTGGACTTAAAGTCACTGATGTATGAGGCAGTGGAGTAGCGTCAGGAGACACGTTCCCATTGGTTGACAGTGACCAAAACATGTCTATATACACGATTCTAATCTTTCTGATTCTAGAGCACATAGATTAACCACATGTTTGGAAATAAGGTTTCTCAGTAGCTCCCCTAGGTAGACGTACGTGCCTATTCACCGCCGCCAGCTAGTAGTCCAGTGGACGTGTTAGATGTAGACTCAATGAGCAAAAAGATTGATGGATCAAATCATCCTTCCATCCAATTAGATTTCTTATTAGAAGTGTAGCCTCTGTCCACCGTATTATGTAATTGTGCATAAGAGTGCATCCATTGAGATTGCTGAGTTTTCCTTTAATTTACTCATTCATCTTCGTGAGGCCAGTCATTCTATACTTAGCTAGATTCTTAAGTTCCAATTAATCTGACTATCCTAGATATTTTCAAGGGTTGGTTTGTAAGGATTAGATATGTTTTTTTCGAATTTGACCAAAGATTGATATCAGTTAGAGAACCATTGAGAACTGGGGAATACTGGACATTTGGAAATCATCGGCAGTACGCACCCACAAATCTGATCCTTACAAACCAACTCTGGAAAATTAATCTGATGCTCGCTAGTGACTTGCTACAGGACAGAGTTTCCTGCAGTTCTAGTGAGAAGTCGTGACCAGTGGGGTCCATCCAGTCGGGAGTGAGGATGGATTTCCCACCGATGACATTGGTTGGTGGTCGCGCTAAATCACCAATTGGTAGAAGTTAGAATTCACGTGCTGGCCATTGAATCGGGTCTTAGTGGCTGGGTTCGTACCCTGGATATCCTTATCTGACCTAGGTAGAGTTGACCTAAGCGTCATTGTAAGATACATTGTAGATTAAATTATTTTACCTAGTTGGATCAATGGGGTCATTTAGCTTACACAGTTTATCCCTGAGTGAGTCTGTAGGTTTGAATGCCACTCTAATTTCTGCTTTATTATGAATCCTAAATAGAGTTTCAAATGATCCTTCTCGTTTATGTAACAAAACTGCAGACTCATTGTAGTTACTCTGTAACAAGGTTCACTTTATGAGATAGCTGGCGAGAATAAGTAGGAAACCACTGTTTGACATACGCGTTTCTTGAAAGTTAGGGACTCGTCAGTAGGGTATGTCTAAAACCTTAAAAGAAGCGATTTCCTCTTTGAGATTCGAATCCACCTCATGGAATAAGATGGCGTAGTCAGAGACGCTACCATCTTACTGGAAGCTCTCTGGTAGGCAGTTCATTGGTAGAATAGTCGACAACCACCCAAGTGGTTTGAGATGGATTCCCAGCAGACGAACTCATAAACCACAACACTGCATACCCAGCAGTGAGTCCGGAAAAGAGGGAAGCTTTGGTACATGTGAGGCTAGCAGTCCCACCTCATAAGACAACAATCCCATCGCTATTGGAACTTCAATGGTTGAAGACACGTACGTGTTCCATCCATCCAAGAAAAAACACAGGAAGAATCGATGAGTGGGCGTGTGGCCCAACTTACTTAAAAAGATTCATTGTCATAGTGAATTCTTCTGATTGAGTTAAACCATTCTTTAACCATAAACGATATAAATCACTTATCTGAAAGAGAGAGAGGGAAAAAACAACATTTACAAAAGAAAATCAGAATAAAAATCACAATCGAATATAAACTTTTTTTAACAAAACTATCAAAGTAAGGATAAACAGTTTGTAGTATTGTAACGACAGAAGTGACGGGCCAGGCAACAGGTCGTTTATTGAGAAAATCGAGAGGTACTTATAGATTTTATGCACATTATTATTAGTGTTATTGTTAGCGGAGAAGCAACGTCTTCTGATTGGCTGTTTCCTTGCTGAAGGTTATTCTGCACTGCTTGTGACCGTTTCTCAGAAAGTTAAGCCATATATCTACGAATCGTATTTGCACACGTTAAGTCCGCTGCGATTGGTTGGTGAGTTTCTCAAGGTTAAGCGTAAATTGTTGTCTACAATTTTGGCTTGTTCACAACCAGCTCTCACCAGAGTATTATTATATCCTAACTTGGACTAAGAATGTTCAAACTGTTGGCGAAAACACTTTTGAAAAGATGGGTAATGAATTCGCATTTCCTCAAGAGCGGATAGCAAATAAATCCATCCAGCTGATGATGAATCCCGAAATAGGACGAAACACGAGTCTTCGATCCCACCTGTTAATTATCACTACCAAACACGTGGAGATGTAGGCTGATGTCGTAACCAGAAGATGTATCATAAGGTTTAAGCCTCCCCCACCCTCCACTTACATTAGCCTAAGGAGCAACTGAGTAGTACCATCAGCCATCACACAGAGCAAATTTATGTCTCACAACTTTATATACATAAAACATAGATCAGCGAGTAAGTGAGTTCAAACCAATACCGACGAGAAAAGGCATGAAATTGTTACTGAAAACACTAAAGGCTTGTAACAAACAGTTTGAGTAATTGAACGAAACAAGCATATCTGTCTATCTATTTGTCTGCCTGTGTGTGGTGAGTAAGTAACACGAAAATTTAACATGTACTATGATATAAACCACCAAATTGATTTATGAGGGCTAAAGATACTGCCAAGTTGTGCCCCCGACCTCCGGCTGAAGTAGGTGCAACCATATTTGAACCCGTAAACTCAATGACTAATTATCGAGTACTTAAGCCAATGTACCATGTCTCCACGTGTACATTACACTTTATGACAGATCTCAGAATTCAGTAGGTTTTTCATATGTCACGCTACTGGATAAACATAGTTTGTCTGACTGACTGACTGACTGGTTTCAACGCACCGATGTGTAGCAGCAGTTCGAGTCGCCACACTTGTACTTAGCACACAGAGAAAGAGAGGAAAGTAAAAAGAAATGCAAACCAGAGACAGTAAACAGAGATATGAGACAAAAGGAATAGAAATAACGAAGAACAATATAGTTTTATTGGATATTATAAGTCACAAGGAGTGGATGCATCTCTGCCAACCATTGACAACGATTTTGAGCCAGCCATATCGCCAATTGTCTCCAGTCTTTATGGGATTTTACCATCCCGAAGATCCTAGCTAGTCAGACAGTCTACACCTTCCTACCTGACTGGCTGGCTTAAACTAACTGTTGTGGATTTCATTGTCTGATAAAGTCACGTTTTCGTTTGACCACCACATGGTAGTTCTTTTCCAACCTGATCAATCCTATATAACTCAGCTAATACTGGTTTGAAAAGAATTAACATCCTAATAAAGTCTGAAATGCACAGATTGAATTCAATTTACAACCAAAAGTTTATATCCTGTAAAAATGCGTCTAATATATGCAAACTTTTCAAAGAAATTACTAGTGGTAAGCAGATGAACAGTATTCCTTTTTCCCTTGATGTTTCCAAACTAAACAAGTCCTTCATACATTCTCCCACAAATGTCAAACTTTCTAGTGTTACAAGTGTTAATGAAACCTGCTTCCCTGGATTTACTACAAATGATGTCCTAAAATGTCTCCAGTCTATGAACCCTTCTTGTAGCCTGGGTCCGGATGGTTTGCCTAGTGTTATTCTTAAAAAGTGTGCAAATATCCTGTGCTATGCTCTCATGGACATATTTAATGAATCTTTTTCCAAAAATGTCGTGCCAGCCGCTTGGAAGGACATTAAAATTGTACCTATTCCTAAGTCGTCTACTGCGACATGTTTTAAATTCAGACCCGTTGCTATTACTTCCCCTTTTCTAAAAGCTATTGAAAAGTTGCTCTTACTTAATCTTCAACCTTCACTTAAAGCCTTTAACAATCCCAAGCAATTCGCCTACAAACATAGTAGAAGTACTTTGGACGCAGCTGCAGTCCTGTATCATAACATTGTCTCCAGCTTAGACAAGGGGGCTAAATTTGTTCGCTGCACCTTTCTAGATTATACATCTGCTTTCGACTCAGTACCTAGGGATATTTTACTAAACAAGCTTGCTGGAACTCAAACTGACTGTTGGGTTGTCAAATGGTTCCATTCTTATTTCTCAGGAAGAGAGCAATACACTGTATGTCAGGGAAAGTCGTCCACTTCATTGCTTACTGAGGCTGGTGTCCCTCAAGGCGCTGTCCTTTCTCCTTTTCTGTTTTCTTTCTTCTTGCATGACTTGCCTCACTCTGATGAAATGAATTTTGTTAAATATGCCGATGATCTAACTATTTCAATGTCTGTTAACTCTCAGCTTGACTGCATTGAGATTAGCAACTTCCTATCAGGAATTAGCAAATGGTCTTCGTCTAACGGCCTTAAACTTAATCCTTCCAAATGTCAGACAGTTAATTTCAGTTTCCGATGTAAACGAAAGTTAAATGAAGCCGTTGGTTCCTATGACCCTTGCAAAATTGATGATACTGATATAGAAACCAAGTCTGAAGTTAAGTATCTTGGTTTAATTCTCTCTTCTGACCTATCCTGGTCATCTCATGTCTTAGCGATTTCTAAAAGAATATTTCGTTTGACTTTTTACATTAAGAAGTTAAGGCATTCAGGCATAACTCAACCACTCCTCTTACAGTTTATAAACTCGTGTATTTTACCTATTCTTCTTTACTGTTCACCCTTATTCTTTCCTGGATTGCTTAAAAAGGACTATGTCATACTTCGTAGAACTCTGAAGACTGTCAGTAGTTCGAGTGGTATCCAACTGGGCCATATCGTTGACATTGTCACTGATAGGCACTTGATGTCATGCAACAAATTCGCTAAAGGAATTTTGTCAGACTCTGAGCACCCACTCTACCAGCAGCTCCAACCTTGTGTCACCTCAGGTAAAACAAGAAGTCTTTTCAGAAGAATTTATGCACGTACGTCTAAGTATAAAAATTCCACTATACCATATTTAGCACGTACTTTGTGATGGAAATAGTGTCAGACATGAACTAACTAACCTTCTTTGCACTACTAAATAAACCATTTCCTTTACCCTTAAAGCATCATTCTTTATTGTTATTGTATTTCTTATATTTATAATCCTCCCAATTTTTTCGTTTTGTTTATTTTTTTTCATGAGTGTGGACATAATTTAAGCTGTATTATAACTGTTAATTTTGTATTTCCCCTCACTATATTATATCAACAGAACATTAGACCCAATAATCTATAACATGCTAAAGTTTCCAAACTGAATCGACAATACCGTTTGAAACAAACTCACTGTTATTATTATTATTTATTATTATTATATCTAATAATTATGTGGTAAATGTGGACAAATTCCTCTGGTTAATTTTGTTTTAATTTTTAATTTTATATATATTTTGAGTAAATTAGATGCAATATTGTGACAAATGCTGAGAATTCCATTCTGTATTACGAGTACTGTTTTTTGGAATAAAGTAAATTATTATTATTAACATTGACCGTAGGTAGAGGAAGGCGATGGCTAGGGATAGGTGACACATGTCCTAACCATCTCAGTCGATGTAACTTCACAGCTTCGTCTATTGATCTTCCCTCCTCACATATACATACATACACATACATATATCACTGACACCGTTATTCTTCCTATAGCACCTTGCATAAACCTTATCATTATTTTATTCTCATTATAATTATCGTTATTAATGACGTTCAAAACATTTACCACATTATTATTACTATTATTTGATCCACGAAAAATCACCATCGTTGATTTAAACGTTTTATATATAAATCTATGTAAATTAGAGTAAAGCCTGAAGAAGATCTAATTGAAAACAGCAATATTGTTCGCTTTTATATGTCTTGATAACAATCTGTCAATTATACATCTCATCCAACAGCTGTACGACAATGCTGCATGCCAAGTAATCCACAAAAGGGAAACTTACGGAATCCTTCCAAGAAGTGAGGACAGAAGTAAGACAAGGTTGCCTACTATCGCCAATGACTTTCCTGATTGCAGTAGGTTGGATAATACGACAAACAGCGAGCAATGGGGAAACAGGCATAAAATGGACTCATACAAAACACTTGGACGATCTGGACTTCGCCGATCATATATGTCTGATTTCCAACAAAATGGAAGATATGCAAGTGAAAAGCAAAAAGTTGGCGATAGAAGAAGCATCAAAGATACGACTTCCTTCAGGTGAACATAGAGAAAACAGAGGTGTTGAAGATTCCTGGCCAACACCAACAACAGCAACAACAACAACAGACAACAATCAGCATAAATGGAAGGAACCTGAAAGAAACAACCTCTTTTACCTACCTACCTGGGAAGCATCGTTTCAGCTGCAGGTGGACGGAACCGACGAGGATATCAAAGCAGTGAGGATCGGAAAAGCAAGACAAGCTTTCACTACTCTCAAGTCTGTGTGGAGGTCAACAGCACTCAGCATCAAAAATAAGATACGGATTTTCAACTCCAATGTGAAGTCAGTCAGTGCTACTATACGGATCAGAGACTTACACTGCGCGCCATAAAGAGCATCTCAAACAAACTACAAACCTTCATTAACAGTTGTCTTCGCTCAATACTCAAGATCAGATGTCCAGAAAGGATCAGCAACAGAGATCTCTGAGAGTGAACCAACCAGCAACGGATTGTGAAACAAATAAGCAGGAAGAAATGGAGATGGATTGGCCATACTCTGAGGAAACAATCCATCAAGTGACATCACTAGACAAGCCATTGCTCGAGTGGAACCAAAAAGGGAAGCGGCGAGTTGGTCGTTGGTGCAAGGGTGACTTGGAGGAGGTCATGTGAAGAGGAGATGAAAACGTGTGGGCAGACTTGGAGCCAGGTGAAGACACTAGCAGAGAACCGAACGCAAAGGAGACGCACGGCTGCAGCCCTATGTTTCTCTAGGAATTAAAGGAAACAATAATAATTATTATATTTCTTGTTCTAATATCAATAATGGGAATATTTAAAGACATATATATATATATATATATATGCACAACAACTTACATTTTTCCCCAATGGTCGTACAGTTACCGGTGATAGAATAATCAATAACCAATTCAAAACACGTGGAACTAAATATTGCAGTTTTAAATGTGCTTCTAAATGTTGTATAATTTTATCAATTAAGCGACTAGCAGAATGATGTGATGATTTACGTTCACGGGAACGTGGAGATTGACAAGTTGATGACGATGATGATGGTGAGGCAGAAGTTGTTGTTGGTGGTGGTGTTGGAGAAGTAGTAGTAGTAGTAGCAGCAGCAGCAATATTGGCATCTGTGTTCAATACAGAATTCGCTAGTGAAGGATAATCGATAGAGACAATTTGTGCCAGACTTTTAGAATCCAATGAGGAAAGATATTGACGTACAGCATCCAATGGTAGCAACAACAATTCAGGATGTGGTGTCTTCAGATAATGTTCTAATATACAAAACTGTAAATAAAAAAGTGGAGATTAATTTGAAATCGTTAGTTTATAGGGATTCGATCACGAACTGACATCAGGTAGAGAATCAATGGAAAGCAAGGAGCACATGACAACTGTTTTGTACTAGTTAGTGACTCTTCATCAGTACACGAATTGGCAGAAGTTAAAACTCAAAGACCATCGGACTAGGCCTCAGTAGTTGAATAGTCTATAAGCTCGCATTATAACTGGAAGGTCTTGGCTTCGAACACCAGTGGGTAGGTACTGCTGAAGCGTCCCAAACTAGGATGAAACAGCTGTCCAGTAGTGTTCTCTAGTTCTCAATGGCTTCCTAACTGATGTCAGCACGTGATCAAAACTGTAACCAACAAAGATTACGCAGACCTCGGTAAATACGCAAGTAAACGTAGGCACACACACCTCCATACATCAGAATCTAAAATATTTATTACAGTAAGTGGAATCGTACTCAAAATATTTGGGTTGTTTTCAGATCTTGGAACATAAATCCAATTCCCACAAGTTAAAGTCTCATCATAAGTAACCAGTTCTGTCACAAATATTCCAAAGTTATGATGAGCATACATGACTACTGGAGTCCCATAAATTTGCTTCAGGGAACAAATAATGATGATATTTAGCGATGAGCAAGGCACCATAACGCTAATTCTTACAAGTTAGAATTCAAAGCACAACTGATCAAATATACACGCTATCCCTAAAAAGTTGGCAATCTTACATACGATGTCTGATACTATTATAGATGCGTAAATATTAGATAGTTCCTAACTAGGATGAAAAACCACTTTCGACTGTTCCCTTATTTGTAGTCTTTCTGTTACTGATGTAGATTTGAGATGAAACCTACCTAGACATATTGATATAAGTATAAAACTTGGTCACTGTGGTAGAGTATAACTCCATTATGGATAAGACTTTATTTTGATAAATCACACAGTGTACTGTTACACAGTAATATTAACTGATGACCACGTTTCGAGCACAAACTATTTCTGCTCATAATCATATCAAGTCGCTACTCACACAACTTTCTTGCTTCATTTATATACATGAGTGGAATTTATGATTAGACATTTGAATAAAAACAATATAGGATAATGTACATGGAGAAACAATAATATGAGTGTTATACAATCAGACGGGAAATAAGAGGAGTGCTTTTTTATAGTCAAAATAAGTAACTTGTTAGAATGTTGTGATGTGCTTGAATTGAAATAGAATTTTAAGATTATTTATTATCCTCCTCTGATTTGACTGACTGGTGGTAATAATATCTTCCATATCTCTGGTATTTGCATTGAGTCATTTCTGTTGCATGTGTTGTGTTGGGCGTAGACTCAATTTACCAGGATTCAGTAATAAACCTCTCTCGCTCTCCACCTATATAAATTACTTCTTAGAATTTTAACCCTCTCCCACCATGCTATTGTGTGATTGTGTGTTAATGCATGCAGTGCGATTGCTGACCTTTTTTCTAAATTAATTATTTTCTCGGGGTCAACCATTCTTACCCTACCTCAATTCTTATGTTCCGACAATCTGAGTACGCCGGACCTACTAGTTTGACCTATGTAGTTCACTTCACTCACATTCATCGCAAGATATTTTGTAAATTGTATTATTTCGTCTAATTGGGTAAACAGGGTCCTTTAGCCTACAGAGCTTGTCCTACCTGAGTGAGTTTGTAGGTTTGAATGCCATCCTAATTCCTGCTTTATTAGAAATCCTACGTAGCGTCTCAGATGTCCCCTCCTTATATGATATAACCGTAGATGACTTATATTCTCTCTTATTTATGTTATCATTACTAGTTTCACAATTATTTTTAATTTGCTTTTGGTCTTTACTGATCTTCCTAATGAATTTTATAGGATAGTTATTTGATACCAACGCTTCTTCCATCTGTTTCATTTCATCATTTAGGTTTTTTGTTTTACTACTTAGTTCTACTGCTTGGTAAGTTGGACACTTAACTAAGGCAGCCTTCACATATAAATAACGACGGATGAGATGAATTAAAGTCTAAATATCTATTAGAAGTTTGAGTTTCCTCTTTATAAATGCTAGTGTACAGTTTACCTTATTCCGTTCGTTTTATTTTACAATCTAACATCATAGCTAATTCTCCTTGTTCATTTTCTGATTCAAATGTGAATTTTATTCCCCCCACTAATGAATTTATATGCGTCAAAAATCTAGAGATATGTTCTGTTTCTAATACTGTGAAAGTGTTATCCATATTTTTGAAGTAGGATTAAATGTATTTAGAGCAATATTTATCAAAATAAAATCTTATGCCATAATGGAGTTACCTAGACATATCTATAATTCCCAAAGTTTACTTCAAAGCTTTTAAAGCACAAATAAGAGAAGATATACACACTACATTGTACTTGAATGAACATATACACAGGACTATATTCATCCTTACAAAGACCAAATTTAGACGTTCAAGTACTGAATGTTGGGCCGACGAAAACACTAGAAAAGATTTGTACTTGGCGGATGATTTATGTTTAATGTCGTGCAACTTGAAAGATCTACAGTCGAAAACCAACAAGTTGACAGAAAAGGCAAACAGCTAAGAACAGAACCTCAGATGAACGTAGAGAAGGCATAGATGGTGAAGATACACACCGATCAACAACAACGAAAACAACAGGCATCAATCATCATCAAGGGGAGAAATTTAAAGGAAGTTACGTCTTTCATTTACCAAGGCGCCAATATTCATAGGCAGGATCAAGAAAGTAAAACAGAAGTTCAAGTATTGGTTTGTAGGGATTTGATTGATTGGTTACAGGATTTCATCATGACTGACATTGGTTAGAGAACCAGTGGAAAACCCACCAGGGAGTACTGGACAGCCAGGTGTTTCGTCCTAGTTTGGGACTCTTCATCAGTACGCACCCTCCACGGGGAGTTCGAACCCAGGACCTTCTGCTTACAAGCAGAGCTAGCTCGTAGACCATTAAGTCACTGGGACCCGATCCAATGGCCAGCCCATGAATTCTAACTTCTGCCAATTCACGATATAGCGCAAACGCTAGTCAATGTCTTCGGCGAGTATTTGTCTTCACACCCGACTTGCTGCAACCTACTGGCCACGACTTCCCACTAGAACCCAGGTAACTACCTACCTGAATAGGGCCAGTCGCCAGTGAGCACCTCATTGATATTCAAGTATTCATTTGGAGGGATTTGGTTGATTGGTTACAGGATTTCATCATGAGATGACATTGGCAGAAGTTGGAATTCATGGGCTGGCTGGAAACTGGATCGGGTCCCAGTGGCTTAATGGTCTACGAGCTAGCTCGCTAACCTTGTAACCAGAAGGTCCTGGGTTCGAACTCCCTGTGGTGGGTGCATACTGATGAAGAGTCCCGAACTAGGCTGACGAAACAGCTATTCAGTACTCCTAGGTTTTCCAATGGTTCTCTAACCAATGTCAGCTCATGATGAAATCCTGTAACCAAAACAAAAGTTCATTATTCTGGAAATACACTGCTGCTGTCAGAATCAGGACCAAGCCCTAGATTTTTAACAGTCAGTGCTTCTGTAGGATTCAGGGAATTGGTGCGTTTTATTAATAGCATTTCTAAAAGGCTATTGAAGACGTTAGTCAACACAACTGCCCTCAATACCAATGCATGTCGAAGATCGGATGAACAACCAGAAAGAATAAGCGTGCGACAGGGAATAGAAAAAGAGATGGATTGGCCAAACGCTGAGAAGACCGTTGAGTGACATCACAGGCCAAACTCTTGGATGGAAATCAAATGAGAAATGACGAGTTGGGCGTGAGTGTGCAGGTGACATGGAGGTCACGTGAGAAGGAGGAGAAAATGACAGCTTATGGACAATCCCAGACTCTAGAGAACTAAGTGTTGCTGAAGCCCTATTTTCCACTCGGAACAAAAGGGAATAATAATAATAATCATATGATAAGAGGGAACCAGTAGCATAAAATAATTAAACAATGATGACAATTAATACAGCGCTTACCTTTAAACGTTGTAGAAAATTCTTCACAGAATAATCTAAGCAAAGAAATATTCCATCAACCAAGTAACTAAGAATAGAGTAAGTAGGATGTACACCAGGGAAGTGTATAATCTGGACGGCAAACAGGCGACAAAGAAAAAGGCAAAGGAGGCATTAAAAAAACTTGAATACAAAAGAGAAGGCTACAGTTTTAACTACAAACATTCGGGAGCTGATATCAGTTAGAGAATCACTGGAAAACCGTTACTGGAGTACTAAAACAGCTGTTTCATCCTAGCTAGGGACTACAACACTTCAGCAGTAAGCACCCATCGGGATTCGAACTTAGGACTCTCTGGTCAGATATATACATAGCTCAACCATTAGCGAATGATATCGGTGAGCAACTGTCTTCTTACCTGGCTTGGTGGACCCTGTTTGTCACGACTTCTCACCAGAACTCCAGGTAACTTCCTGTATAGAGCCAATTACTAGTAAGCATGAGATTAACTTTCAAGTATGTTGGTTCTCTAACTGACAGCAACACTTGTGAACAAACTTGTAACCAATCAAATCGCTACAAACCAACACTTGAAAAGAAATATTTAGGAAAATATTCGAAAGATCAAGTGTAACCAAATTCTGTGAGAACAACAATCGATCATCTTGAAGCCATCCACAATCAGTAAGGCTTTCATTAATTTACCAATAGAGTTATGAGAGAAATGCATTCATCGGGATTTAATTTCACTTTGAATATATCAATGGATTAGTTCGACAGTAATGTCAACGAGTTCTTGAGCAAATGTTCACCAACCATGATCCAACTAGCTGTCAAATACAGACTCTTGATACTAAATTTATACATGAACCATAGAATTCTTAATGCGACTGAGATGGACAGGCATCTTTAACACACATGTAACGGTAGAAGATGACAGACTTGGTGAAGACGTGTTTAAAAGGGAATTTGGTGTCTCTATATAAAGCAAATTATGTACACCTTATCTCCAACGCCACACCATTTGCACAGATCTCCCGTGTTGTGCCATTTCTGGCCTTGTCTTTCTTTGTGTTCCTTTTACGTTTCCCATGTATCTCCGCAACGCTGTATCATTTGCTCTGTTTGGCGTGTTTTCGGCCAACGAACGTGTCTTTATATACTACTGGTAAATCTTATCAGTAGCACATGCCACACATGCTCATTTAATAGTGTAGCGAACAGCTAATGTTACCGTCGAAAATCTAACTACCTATTTTATTAGTTGTGTACCGGATCGATAATGGTTACCTTGACGTCACCATCAACCAACAACCTACTCTGTAAGTTCCACAACACTAAAATGATCGTTCGGATAGTTTTTGGTCTAAAGACAATTGTTAACACTATGTTGGTTAGGAGTATGTGGGCGAAGTTTTACTGTAAGGGAACAGGGATGTAACAGCAGTAAGGTGTTTTCCCCGGATTACCTGCAAGCCAGCTATGTTACCTTGACCTTCTTGACCTAAAGGCGGCATTCGATTCTGTCGACCGAGAGGTACTATGGCAATGCTTGGCTGCAAGCGGAAGGTGTGACGAGAAAATATATTGCATTGATCAAGGCACTGTACTCGAACTCATGCAGCTAGGTGAGTGCCTACAGAGAGTTGTTATCTGAAGTGGTGACAATTAGTGGTGTCTGTCAGGGATGCCCACTATCCCCATTTCTATTTAATTTCTTCATAGATATTGTACTAATGGACTTAACCCTAACTGACTTCAGCGACTCATGGATTGACTTGTTACCAGGGAGGGAATCATCTCGTTGACTTAGAATATGCACATCGGTGTAAAGTTCTATGTCGAAAACAGAGAGATAGACGGTTATGTTACCTCACTGCACTACGGAAAGGGAGTGGAGTTAAAATAGGTCCTGACATATCTTGTAGCTGTCTGTAGTTGGCCATATGTGGCTGACTTCAAGCGGTTATCCTTTAAACTCTGAGGTCGTACAACTATATTACTCCTTTTGTTTTCGGGTATTCTCAAGAAGAAATCAACTTCCATAGTGTGTGTGTGAGCAGTTAGGAAGTAAGAAATTGCCCACATACATTTCTATGGGTACACTAGGCCTTCCTGTTCATCAGCTCTCCTTAGTTTGGAACAAATCAACGACACTTTCGATTCAGTTTGAAGGATATCAGAGAAAAACTTTTGATTGGAATGGGGAAAACAAAATTCAATTCTTGAAAATAAACCAAAATCAACACAACAAAAATGGGGACGAAGAAAAAGGCAGATATCCGGTGGCTTGAACTGATTCCACTCTCTGAGCTCAATCAAACCAGGAGTGCACCAGTAACCAGATTGACTCCAAACTAGCGAAACTGCTGTCCGGTATTTAGATCACTCCTGTCTGGTTACTTATCAAACCCTACTGGTTGATGTGTGAGTTGTATATAACTACCCACCTCAGTGAATCAGTAGTATATAGTTTTACGCATTTGTGCTTGAGATGGTAGTCAGCTTTCTACCTCAACTTCATTGACTCTGAAAAAGCCTTTGATAGCGCAACGTCGATCGAGAGGTGATTTGGCAACTACTTCGCTACTACTAGGTGCGACCAACAATAATACACCTCATCCAACAGTTGTACGATAATGCTGCATGCCAAGTAATCCACAAAAGGGAAACTCACGGAATCCTTCGGAGAAGTGAAGACGGGAGTAAGACGAGGCTGTCTGCCTACTGTCTTCAATGATTTACCTGATCGCGGTAGACTGGATAATGAGACAGAGAGACAGCGGGCAACGAGGAAACACACAAAAAACTTGGAGGACCTGGATTTCGCCAATGATATATGTCTGATTTCCCACAAACTGGAAGATATGCAAGTGAAGAGCAACAAGTTGACCATAGAAGAAGCATCAAAGATAGGGCTTCAGGTAAACACAGAGAAAATAGAGGTGACGAAGATTCCCGGCCAACAGCAACAGCCACAGCAGCAACAACAGACAACGATCAGCATAAATGGGAGAAATCTGAAAGAAGCAACCTCCTTTACCTACCCACCTACCTGCGAAGCACAGTTTCAACTACAGGTGGACGGAACTGATGAGGATATTAAAACAACGATAGGGAAAGCAAAGAAAGCCTTCATTACTCTCATCAAGTCTGTGTGAAGGTCAACAGCACCCAGCATGAAAATGAAAATAAGATCCGGATTTTCAACTCCAATGTGAAATCAGTGCTACTTACTATACGGATCAGAGACTTGGCGCATCATGAAGAGCACTTCAAACAAACCACAGACCTTCATCAACAGCTGTCTTCGCTCAATATTACTCAAGATCAGATGGCCAGTCAGGAAAGATCAGAAACAGGGATCTCTGGGAACGAACTAATCAGGAACAAATTGCGCAAAAAATATGCAGGAAGAAATGGAGGTGGATTGGCCATAATCTGTGAGAAAACAAACCATCATCAAGTGACATCTGTCACACGCCAGGCCATCGCTCGAGTGGAACCCAGATGTGAAGCGGCGAGTGCAAGAATGACATGGAGGAGGTCATGTGAATACGAGATGAAAGCATGTGGACAGACGTGGCGGAGAACCGAATGCAATAAAGACGTACCGCTGAAGCCCTAAGTTCCTCTACGAATTAAACGAAACGACAATAATATAATAATTATAATTAATTTGTCAATTGTGAAATCTGATTTAAACAGCACTCACCTCTTTCATAACAACTTCAAGAAATGCAGTCGGTGGTGGAACAGCAAATCGTCGAATTGTCAATCGACTCAATGTAGATGCATTAATCCTTGATTCAAATACCATTTCAGGTGTTGTAGACAAACCAAAAACAAAATTTATCGGCAGAGCATATTCACGACCTTTTATTCGCCCAGTGAAATAAAATGAAGTCAATTCAATGAAATCACACAACACCTGGATAGGTATAGATTCAATCTCTGTAAGGATAATAACTAATGGTTTAAGAGATGATGGTCTTTGCCTTTGGATAGAAATATTTTTTTCCATATCTGGTGTACTTGGTACACTGTCACTTTGTTTGATATCATCGAGATCATGTGAAGTAGACCGGTGACTACTGAATCGTGAACTTCTTCTGCCTCTTCCTCCTCCTCTTGGTGTAACAGGTCTAGGTGAATCAGGATACGGCTGTTGTAATTTGGTGGAGAGTAGTCTAGGTTGACTGACACTACGCGGTGTACGACCACTACTACCACCACCACCACCACGAGGTGTTGTAGGTGGTGCTAAGAAAGAAAAGAAAAGAAGATAAATAGAGGCAGGCATATTACTGTCAAACACTTCACAGGTGTGAGTATTGTGGTGGGTGCTACTGACAAGATTTATCAGTAGTATATAAAGAGACATTCATCGGCATAAAACGACGTCAAATAGCAGGGAGATTGATTTCATATCACAGAAAATAAATGATGTAGCGTTGCGGAGATACATGGAAGACGTGAAAAGAACACAAAGAAACTCAGCATGAAGTCCACAAGTACCACAACAGGGAAGACCTGTACAAATGGTAATTTGAAGATAAGGGTTTACAAAATTTGGCTATATGTAGATAAAAATTCCCTAATAAACATGCATTTAATAAATCTGTCGTCTTCTACCGTTACAGTGTAATAAACTGGAGGCCCCAGATTTACTGCAAAGGAAAGCAAACACAGGTGCAGCCAATTTATTATCGAGCTATACAATATATGTGTAAATATATATGCATGGAAATCTGCTTCACTCAACATGAAGAAAAATATTCGGATTCTCAACACTTATGTCAATTCAGTCAGTTCTTCTATTCTTCTAGCCAGGCTGGGTAAAAGGAGACCATAAACGTGTATACAGTTCAGTGACAGAACATCTGGTCAACTCAGGACATCCAGCGTCTTCCGAAAAATCCTTCAAAGTAATATACAAGATTCAATCAAACCTATCAAAGGGAGTCAAATCAAGACATCTGGGCATAGCTGAGGCGCTAACTATCCAAAAGCTCAAACCCACGCTTTGTATCCAAAAGAAATACGTCCAACCCCTGTCCCTGCCATGGCCATCATAAACAGGTAAATTTTTTTAGTAATGACGATCTCATCGCCTTTCTTATCTAAACTTCCTGTTTATTCATGTTATTTTAAGTTTTTCTTAATCCCTGTCTACACTACCATATTTTCATATCCCAACCTTCCTGTTTTTTCTGTCATTTTACTATTTCTAAATATTTAATCCCTGATTGCATAAACAATTATTCATCACATTAGTTTTTTATCCAAACTTCCTGTATATTTTGTTATTTCTACATTTCTAACCCCCAATTACACAATGTCAATCGTCTTAGTTATTATAATGCTACTTTGTTCGAGTTTTATCCGTCCCTCCTTTGTTTATTATGGCATTCTAATTCCTAATTGTAATTTTTATTAATTTGACCCTTAACCGGAAATTATTCTGGAACTTTCCCATCCGTTTGATATAAATACACGAATGTACAGCCTAGATGATGACTTCGACGAAAATAAAATTTTCTTCGCTGCAACTGTCTTTTTAATAACTCCTATCACCCAATGCTAATTAGCAATAAAAATAACGAAAACAAGATAGAATTCAAAGCCTCTGTAGTACTGCCGTATAAAGAAGGAACGTCAGAGACCTTATGTAGGATTCCCAATGAGGCTGGAATTTAAACCAACCAACTCTCTCAGAGATGAACTTTGTCGGCTTAAGGAACCGCTCGATAGATCAAATTAAGAAAAGTAATATTATCTACCAAATATCATGTAATGACTCTGAGTGAGGTCACTCACATGGATCGAACTAGTAGATCGGAGTCAACTAAATTATTGGAACAAAAAATGTAAGCTAGACCTAGAATAATTGACCCTGACAAGTTAAATAACCTAGAAAAAAGCTGAGCCATGACACTGCATTCACTTGCACGTTATCATGCAGCGATAGGGTGGGACAGGGTGAGAGTATTAAAAAGTAATATAGTTAGGTGGACAGACAGAGAGGTTAATCACTGAAGCTTTGTTTATCGATTCAATACTGAACACGTGTAGTCGGAATGACGCAACGCCGCTTATACTAGAGATATGGAAAGTGGCAGCAAGCAAGAAAGGGAGGTTGAAGAAACAGAAACAGAGAAAATATATACAAGACAAATTTTGAAACCATGTGACTAAAATTGATATGATTATAATTATATAATTATATGATATAATTATATATGATTATTATGATTCTCAGATGTACGTTCAATATCCAGTTCAAATTCAATGAAAAGTTCTATGTACAGAAAGATGGAGTAGCTATGGGGTCTCCTCTCGGTCCACTCCTAGCCGACTGCTTCATGGCGAGTCTGGAAAACAACATCCTCAATCCCTTGATAAGTCAACTGCACTTATACAAGAGATACGTAGATGACACGTTTATAATCTGTGATGAAAATTGTGATTTAGATTCTCTCCTCAAAACCTTCAACGCAGCGCATCCATCAATAAGTTTCACCTTAGAAAGAGAATCAAACAACGCATTTCCATTCCTTGATGTACTACTCACCAGACGACACGACTGTACGATCCAAAGATCAATATACCGCAAGCCAACATGGACTGGACAGTTTATCAACTTTCAGAGCTTCGTCCCACTAATCCGAAAGAGAAACCTGGTACGTACGTTGTGCTCAAGGATTAGAAAAATCTGCTCGGAAGACATGGTGGAGAATGAATTAAATTTATTACGAAAAATCCTACTAGAGAATGGATATCCACCAAGATTTATTGACAAAAACATGAAGGAGAAGCCTCCGATGTCAAACATCGGAACGGTTCCTAAGAAGACTCTCTTCATGAACCTAGAATTCACAGGTGATGTCGCAGCGGAAATTCTCAGAAACCGCCTTTCTAAATGTCTGAAGAAGACATTTCTAACAGCCACTCTACGTATCACATTCTCCTGCAGACAGTTAATCCAGTCTAACGCTAAGGACAAGATACCGCTTTTGGCCACCTCAATGTGTATTTATCAATTTACTTGCTCGTGTGGAGCAAAGTATATCGGCCGTACGCAACGTCAAGTCCAAAAACGTATTCTGGAACAGTGCCCTGCTTGGTTGGCCAGAGGAGAAAAGAAGAATAGCAACAGCTCAATCCTCGAACACCTTGTCATCTCTGGACATCGAGCACCCCCACATGAATGCTTCACAGTGTTACACAGAGTCCCTCAATATCGTACAAAGGGACTTCGGATTCGCCATCTGTACATAACTGAAGCATTAGCTATTCGAGATCTAAAACCGGACCTCTGCATACAAAAGCGATACATACATTCTCTTGCCTTACCATGGCCAGAGTAAAGTTCTTATCACAATTTTGCTTCTTTCCTTTATTATGTAAGTTCACTATTATTACCATTATTATTTTATTTTATTAATACTTTTATTATCATTTTGTCCCCATCATCCACATTTGATTACCACTCTATTACTGTTTACTAATAACATTGTTTTTCATACATATTTTATACAAAAACACTTTATAGCCTTTCCACTAGTTCCTGTCCATTTTACACGAGATTATTGATTATCCACTATCTCACACTTATTACGTCATGCCAACTTCTGTCTCCTTTCTAACTTACAATTAGTCATCCCTTCTTACACCTTACATTATGTAATACAATTTTCCAAGGACAAAATTTACCAGTATCTGATTGGTCTAAAGATTTCTTTGTTAATTATAATTACGATTGTACAGCTCATGAAAATGAATCGTCGAAAAGAAAATTTTCTTCGCTATTTGTGTCTTTTTCTTATGACTGAATATGGGAATATTTCGTTTATAAGCAATTATTTATGCTTGAAACCTTGTTATCCAGTTGTTAATACTGCGTTATCACTGTATGATATTTAAAAGTAAACTTATCTAATATGAAACCATTAAACATTTGCAACTAACCTGGTGTTTTGAATTTAGGCGATCCAAACACATTAGTATCAGTACACTGTTGAATCTACAAAACAATGTTTAAAAATGTTGAGTGCATTCAATGAGAACAGAGAAATGCCGCTTTTCGACTATGTTAAGAGATAAAACCCCACCAAAGAAAATTTCCTATAAAGAGTCGACGTTAATATATGTGTAAAACTTGGACACTGTGGCAGTAAGTAATTCCATATTAGTTTCTTTATTAGATGTATCCCACAGTAAGTGAAACAGTATCACTGTTTACTGGATGACGTTTCGAACACAATTTATCAATGTTCATAATAATATCAATTATAATCACACGACTTTGAAACTTGAGTTTTATAGTTTTCTTTGTCTTCTCCTATTTTTCGTCATTGGGGATTTTCCAGATATCTGGGACAGGTTTTGAATCATTCCTATTACATGTATTTGCAGTTGATTCGATAAACAAAGCTTCTGTTATCAATTTCTCCCTCCACCCTGTTACATTAGATTTTAAAACTAATAACCCCAAGAGGATGTATGGTTTCGTTTAAGTTCATAAGTCAGGATACCCTATTAGGCCTATAGTTGATTTTAGAAATTCACCTACTTATGAATTATCTAAATATTTAGCCATGGTATTAAATCCCCGTAAAAGCCACTCGATATCTAGACTAACAAATTCTTATGAACTAAAACATAGATTAGATAATTTAAAATTAGATAATGAAGAGAAAATGGTTAGTTTTGACATTGTCAGTTTATATACACGTATACGAATGATTATGGCTATAGAGGCAGTCAGAAACGAACTCATTTCTGACCAAGAACTCGAACTTAGGAGGAAAGTGCCACTTGAGGACATAATGCTGGGAGTACAGCTATGCCTGACTTCCACAGTATTTAAATTCCAGGGGGAAATATACAAACAAACTGAGGGAGTTGTCATGGGGTCACCAATATCCCCGGTTGTGGCAGATATATTCATGGATAGGTGGGAAAACATAGCAATTGAAACGTTCACCCCCACCCCAAAAGTATGGTGGAGGTATGTAGATGACACATTCACTGTACTTAGAACACAGGATATAGATAGATTTTCCAAACACATTAACTCAAAGGTGGAGGCAATTCAATTCACTTATGAATTGGAAAGTCAGGAAGGGGAGCTTCCAATGTTAGATTGCAGTGTAAAAAGGAAAGAAGATGGAAAGTTAAACACTAGTGTTTACAGGAAACCCACACATTCAAACAGATATTTGGACTTCCGATCATCCCATCCTATGTCAGTAAAAATAGGATTGGTGAAATGTTTAAATAATAGAGCACAAAAACTAAGTAGTACCAAGGAAAATCTAAGACAGGAAGTGATACATATAAGAGAAGCCTTGAAACTTAATAATTACCCTGATAAATTAGTCAGGAAATATGTAGGGAAATGTAAAAATAATAATAGTGATAGTGGTAATAATAATAATATTAATGACGACATGCAAGTCAAATGTGCGCAAGACAAAACCAACAATAAGGAATCTAAATCATCAGTATTAATTCCATACAAGGAAGGAACCTCGGAAACCTTACGCAGAATTCTTAACAAGGCAGGAATAAAAGTGGCTGGCATTCAAACCACCCACAAACTCAATTAGAAACAAGCTTTGTCGGTTAAAGGATCAACCCTGTGGAGCCGATAAAACAAAACAATTTAGTTTATCTAATACCCTGCTGGAATGATTGTCAGGTCAAATACATAGGTCAAAGTAGTAGAACAGGGTCAGTCAATCAGACTAGCGGAGCATAAAAACCTAGCAAAATCTAGATTGGTTGACCCGAAGAAGATAAGAAATCTAGAGAATAGTTCAGCTATAGCACTACATGCAGTTACACACAATCACACAATAGGATGGGATAGGATGACAGTTTTAAAATCTAATGTCACAGGGTATAGGGAGAGATTGATAACAGAAGCTTTGTTTATCGAATCAACTGCAAATACGTGTAATAGGAATGATTCAACACCTGTCCCAGATATCTGGAAAATCCCCAATGACGACAAATAGGAGAAGACAAAGAAAACTATAAAACTCAAGTTTCGAAGTCGTGTGATTATAATTGATATGATTATGAACATTGATAAATTGTGTTCGAAACGTCATCCAGTAAACAGTGATACTGTTTCACTGACTGTGTGATACATCTAATAAACAAACTAATATGGAAAGAGTCTATGATTCAAATATCAAACCATTTCATGAGATCTGAGAAACGCAGTAGATATAGGGACTTCAGAGCATAAGGAAATAAGCATTTCTAAGTACTCACACATACACACACAAAGTCTGCTTCGTATGGCTGACATAGGATTAAGTTTGACCAGAGTTAGGAGTGGTCGAACCAAAATTTGGCATCAACCGATGAAGTATTCGATTATTAGGAGGGAAGGTGTAGACTGCCTCGCTGGGCTTGACGTTTTTAGTGATATGGCTTAAAATGGTTGCAACCACCTTCCTGGCTGACTGACTGGTTCCAACATAGAACTTTGCACATATGTGCACCAGTTCGAGTTGCCACTCTCCCTCCAAATACCACACAAAGCAAGAGAAGAGAGATTCAAAAGAGTGAGAATAAACAAAAGTGTGAGTGAAGGAAGAAGAATAGTGGTAATATGGAAGAACAATAGAATTTTATTGGATATGACTGGCAAGTCACAAAGAGTGAATGCATCTGCGCTAGCCATTGACAACGATTTTGAACTAGCCATATCACCAATTGTCTCCGGCCTTCATTGGTTTTTACCGTCCTGAGGACCCCAACCAGTCAGAAAGTCTACATCTCCCTACATGGCTGGCTTAAACTAACTATTGTGGATTTCATTGACTAGCCTTCTCTTTTCCAACCTCATCCATCCTATATCAGCTAGCATTGCCCATTGTCGAGGAAGGCGATGGCTAGGGATGCACGCGTAACACATGTCCTAATCATCTTTCTCAATAAATGTAACTTCACAACCTTTTCCTCTTACCTGGTACTCGACCGAAGCCTAACCTCAACACTGCTCACCTTATTATAATACTTCACACGGGAGATAAAATGCAGTCACCTATGACCAAAGACAGCTAGCCAACGTTTTCATGTCTTCCACTTTCAATGGCCATGTCTCACTTGCAGCAATAAAGGAGGACGGAGCAAACTGCAGCTGAGCAGTACACACGCCCTTTGGTCGACAGCCAGCGGGATATCACGTCTTCTAAGCCAGAGATGGCGTAAGTTGGCCAGTAAATGCCAAACGTGCCTTCTGTCTCTGTGCTGAGATCTCGTCAGCAATCAACCCATTGGGGCTGATGCAACTTCCCAAATAAGTGAAGTAGTCAACCACTCCAACAACCACTTCACTTTCTTCCTTTCTTTAAGCTAGGAGTGAGTCAATGTAGTTCAGTCCTGTAGCTTCATCATCTTATATTTGACGGGAGCCAATCGCATGCCAAGGATTCGAAGATCGATGCTCCTGAAGGCGTTCAGAAGACTCTGCATTTTGTCAGCATTTTCACCTCACCTAGGCGGGAGGACTGTATCATCTGCATATTCTAAGTCAACGAGATTATTCCCTGGTAGTAACAAGTGAATCCTTGAGCCACTGAAGTCAGATAGGGTTAAGTCCATTAATACAATATCTATGATGAAATTTAATAGAAATTGGGACAGCGAGATGGCTTCCCTGATAGACACCACTGGTTGTCATCAATTCAGATGACAACTCTCCGTAGGCTCTTAACTGACTGACTGCATGAGTTCGACTAGAGTGAGTGCCTTGGTCAGTGTGATGCATTTTCTCGGCATTCCCTTCACAGCTAAACATCTCTATAGTACCTCTCAGTCGACGGAATCGAATGCTGCTTTTAGGTAGGTCAAGAAATATGACGACTGTTGGATGTCGGTAAGTAGGCCTATGTTCCAGAATCTGTCGATGGGTGAAGATATGATCAATACACCGTCTTCCTGGTCTAAAGCCTTTCTAGTTCTATCGTGTTTGTTTCTGCCGAGCTCTATGCTTTTAGACTAAGAAGTGCTACGAATGTATAGGTACTTAAAATTAACTATCAAACAGGTGTCATAAGGGAAAAATAAGGGAAAAAAATTAAACTTACTCTTGAGTAATACCATTCTATTAAAGCCAAATACGAAGAACGCGTAGACGGAGTAAAATTTTTCTGTTGACAAAACAAACAAAGAAGTACGGAGGTATTAGCTTTATAATGTTAGTTGGTTACTTAGTTGGAACTCACCTACCCGGTAACGAGGCTACGATCCACACTGGTTTTGAGGGCGGATAACACAACCCAGCTGCCCCCTCCCAAGCTGAAGTCGGTGATGGAGGATTCGAACCTGGGACCCGTTAGTTGGAAGTCGATGGTCTACACCAATAGGGCCACACATCTCCGCACGTTACAATGTGCCTACCACATAGGTGATGTCAGTTAGAATTCAACTTATATCAATTGTAACACTGACCACTGATCTTGTGCAAACTAAATGACACAACAGTTTCGTCACTTACTGCGGCTGATGAAATAAACCATCCAGCTCTGAGAATACAAGTATACCAGTAACTGTCCTTAATTAACAAGTTATAATGGACTGATGACAACTCAATTCTGTGCTTTGAGCTTTAGAGAAAACCGATTTTCGTCTTCGCTATGGTAAACTTAACAAAAGGAGAATCCGGAAGACATCCTGGATGTTTCTCAACAGTTACCAATCTGCAATCCAAATCACATTACACAAGCAGTTCAAATGAAAAATATTTTCCTGGGCGTTCAAATTACAAGACGTGAACATGATGGAACACTAAGAAGATCCATCTACAGAAAGCCGACATGGAACGGCCTCTATATACAAACCAAAACCTACTTCGTCCATTGAGCCATAGAATCCGCAGCATTTGCAGTCCCGACACTATCGAAGAGGAGGTGAACACTCTGAAAAGAATTCTCCGCAAAAAAGGTTACCCCAAACTCTTCATCACAAATTTCATGAAACCTAAACCACTAAGACCGCCCATACTTTCTGACCCTAAAAGACTTCTCTATTTGAATCTATAATTCAGTGGAGACTCATCAGTAAGAATACTGAGAAACTGCCTTTCCTGTTAATTAAAGAAAGTCTTCTTCGAGGCTGAATTTCGATTAACTTTCTCCACAAACCCAATAATTCGCATGAACGTGAAAGACAAGTTACCACTACTGGTTGCCTCATTGGTCTGTATCTATCAATTCACCTGCTGTTGTGGAATTAGGTGTGTCAGCCGTACTCAGCGTTTGCGATCCAAACGTATCATCGAACACTTATCTTGGTGATTTTATAAAGGAGAAAGGTCTCCCTCCCGCAACTCTATCCTGGAACATCTGATTGAATCTGGACACCAATCTAACACACACACCCTCAAACCAACTTCAAAGTCATCTACAGAATATATAGGAATCTTGCTAAAGCAGTACGAATCAAACTTCTTCAAACCGCACTACACTTAAGTCTTTACGTATGACTAACGACTGCTTGTCAAGAAACAACGAACATAAACATGTATATGATCAGACAGTCGTTTACCAGGGAATAATAGTGGAACATGTTAAGTCATGACTACATTTCACTACACAATAGTGTATAAAATCAGTAATTTCAGGATGAAAAGCCTGACTAGTGTTAAACCATGCCATCAATTACAAGATATTTAACGTTTTATTGTCAAAATTAGTGAAACAAACATAATTGAAAAATAACTCACCAACGAGGAGGTTGAGGATATTCCTGGAAGCTCTTCATGATCATCATCGCTATCCTTCTCACACCAAGTACCTTGAGAGGAGTCATTTGATAACTGTTGCACTACTAAGTTGACGAGACTGCGTACACTAGTCACATTTGCGCCAGGACTAATGATAGCAACATGCCCATGATTTTCCAACACTAGATTTTTAAGATGACCGTAAATGACTGAATGATCTGGGGTGTTAACACCAGCTAATAAAACAGCTGTAGGGATTTGATCAATGTTGTGAGTGCATTGCGCTTCAGAATGATGAGAAGTTAACCAAGAATTATGTGAATCTTCAATATATTTATAAACTTCAGTAAAGACGTTCGTTGTAAGACATCTTGTTTGAACCTACATATATATTATGATCTACAAAAATGACTATCGTACTTCAATACGGGAACTTAAAATTTTCCAGGTATCACGGAACTGGTTATATCGCTTGTTAGGCACATCTTCAGAGCCTTTGAATAAATAGCTTTGTTAAAAACAATGTCAATATATTGAATACCTTTCCCACTTCCATGGTAAACAGTGAAATCCTATTTAGAAAGAGTAAAATCGCGTTACAAACAACTTACCGCCATAACTAATTTTGCCGCGCTTGAGAAGCAATTTCAGTGACCGATTGTTTACTGAACAGGGAACTTAAGGACCGATTTAATCCACATAAATAATGATTAAAAACAATCCATCATTGAAGAGGAACGCCTATTCTGCTGTAATAACAACAAAACCTGTAATACATAGTTTAGCAGATGGTCTGATGAAGAAGTGGATTTTGCCATGCAGTAAATTTCCAGCATTAACTCCAAGAAATGGGCCTATCCACCCTCTGTAAGGGTACAGTCACACAAATTTGGCTTTAATGAACAACGAACTCAACTATCCAACAGATATGACTTAAGTAACCCAGTTCTGACCTACATACTGGAGTACTTCATGTATTCAGCACCAACATCTTTTTGACGAACTTGATTAAACCTTATGATTTCTTGACTCTCACTCCTTGTTGTTTCAGAATGGCTCCAAATCTTCGAGTGATTAAATTTCAATCAATCTGCTCAACTGCTGCAGTCCTGCTGAACTCAGTGACACAGAAGTTCATTGGTTAATTTAATGGGGATAAATAATTCGTACTAAGGTAGTAATACTACTGAGATTTATGAGTTTCGTTTGGCCAGAAAGCCATAGACTCATATTATCAAACACTCTGGAGAAAGGTTTGCCAACCAAATTCAAGGGATGTCTGGAGAATGATTCATCTAAACAAATGGAAACTGGAGATAAAGGATTGGGTGTAGGACAAGTAATACTGTGAAAGCTTAAACATAAATAACAGAAATAAAATAAAAGAACAGAATGGGGCTACTGGGGAAACAACAAAGTATATAAAGACAAGTGAGGTATTGATAGTAGGAGTACAGTCTCCACTAGATAGTCCACTGGCCATTTACATGCACACATGCCTGTAGTTTTTGAGTAAATGGCTAGACTTCTACGGTTTATCGGGATGTCTACCTTAGTTACCGATTCTGTGTCAAGTTCGCCAGGTTTTATGGTTCCGGCCAGGATGCCCAGAGGTGTAAGTTCACAAACCTGCGATTTCGTGTCACTAATCTGCGTTGATAGTTTAGATATACTGCCCATATGTTCGAAAAGTCATCCAGTAAATAATACTGTTTCACTGCGTGATGTATCTAATAAACAAACTAATATGGAACATATTTTTACTAGACGCCATTTGTCGTCAACCCAGATTTCGTTTATTTGTCATTAACGGGTTTTAAAACAGGCTGTGAGAGCTGCAGCCGCTGAAACAGAAAATGGTCCCGTTTCAACAGTTCACTGGTAACAGCATTACGCAGATATTGCATATTGGAAGATGGATGTATTGAGAGATGGTGTCACTGTACATAACTATGAAACTGTCCTAATAAAGCGGAAATATGACGTTGTTTATGTAAAGGAAAACAACTTTTGGCTGATTGTATTATAAGATACCACTTTCTGGAAAGATTTCGTCGAGAGAAAACTGGGTAGTTAATACCCATTAGTGAAACGATGCCTGGAGAGGATATAACTCACTGTCATCTCTGGGATATATTCATCACAGAGTAAACCATATCATAATATTACAAGACCCACTCCAAAATCATCGAAAGATTTTGAGAAAGGTTGAAGAAGAGAATCAGGGCCGTAGGGCCTCTAAATACGTTGCAAGTAACTGAGGAACTCAAAAGGATAGGACAAGTAACGAGGTAAAAACTATATCTTCTTTATGATTCGTAGGTTTGTAGGGGATCGAAATAGTTCGCCAGCTCAAATGAACTTCAGCCGTTTCACCTTCAACGACCAATTTGTTTATCCATGCGGACTGAAGCACACGGTGGTCAATATAATAATCAAGGGACAAGAACTAGGCAGTTTCGTCGTGTTGTGATTATCTACATGCCCACTCTTTTTAAGCCATCGCCAACAAGTACACCTTCCAGCAGCTATATGTGTTGTATTCTGCTTTCGCCAGTTGTGGTGGCGTTAAGAGCAGCCTGGCCACCAGAATAAATGGGCCAGGCTAAAGACTTAGTAGGTGGTGGGGCTAGAGCTTAGGTCTAGCGGGATTGGTAGCCACACATTAATCGTTCCATCTGGTCGAAGCCAACCGGAAACGAGTTCGAAATTTTTTATTTTTTAATTTTTTATTTTTGATTACACCTTGGTGCTACACCGTATTTTCAGTACAAGTATGGAATTTTCAGCATTGATATCGGTAGCCCAAATTTTGCAGGCCGACCATAGATATCGGATGTGCGTCGGCAGGGGACCGAATCCCGGACCATGTGCATGGTCGGCGAGAGTCCTAACCTCTGTGCCACCGACGCACATCATCTAAGAAGCCTAACTGACTGTCTTCGTGGAGACCACCAAATAACGAATGCCTATCCATTTGTACGACTAGCTTTTCCACTCTTTACTTGCTTCCTGCTGTGCTTGCGAAAATATTGATTCACAAACGCCATAAGTCTTCTACAATATTTCGGGCGGTCTGTCGGTAATTTGAATAATCGTCTTGACAGAGAGGTCGGCTTCTAAACTGGTAAGCCTGTTTCACTCATATTTGCCTTCTTTTTTGTTAGAGATGATAGCAGTCTATGTATCTTTCGTTTTTGGCTATTTCTTGGAATCTTTTTCTCTGGTACGTATTATTTAGTTCACCCTTTTTTATTTTATACATCCCATTCGCCAAACGTGGAAACTGACCTTAAAAACGCTGCTTCTGCGCATGTGGATGTTTTGGTCACTCCCAATGTTAGGTTACCTGAATTAGATTGACATGACCCGGAACTATGGCTTGATCAACTACAGCAGTGCTTTGGCCGGTAAAGCATAAAATCCGAAGCCACTGGGTATAAGGGTGTGTGTTCTCAGTTACCTTATGAGATCAGCAAGGGAGTGTGGGACGTTACACTTCACCCCCTACGAAAGAGCTGCCATACTGAGTGCTTAGGTGTGAGGTGATAAAACACTTCTGCATGTCAGAAAAAGAGCGCTGTTTTGAGAGCAGAACGTGTGAGAAAGGTTCCCATCTCAGTCCTTGCGCATTCGCAGCAGCTTGCAGGGAACATTGCGATGGGAGAGGCTGTACTGAGGTAAATTTGGATGTAAGCCCTTCAACAGGCACTAGATGCACAAGACCCTAACTCCTTTCTTGAACAGTTACCACGCATCATTGATCGGATGTTGGGAAGCAGATGACTTACAGAAGAGCAGGTGAACAACATGAGTATGAGTGAAGACACAATAATCTCAGAACTAGTGGCCAGCGTTAGATCACTAGCAGAAAAACTGGCAGAAACACAGCTGACATATGTCGAACTAGGCAGATCGCACAGTAAAACACGTGTCGAGTCAAAGAGTAGGCCCAATCAAGCTACATCAATAGGCCAACTCTGTTGGTATCACTGAAGGTTCGACAAGGTTCACAGTATTCACACAAGGATGCGCTTCACCTAAATTCCCCCGAAAGCAACAGGGAAACGAGTATCCCCTTCTCAGGCGGGAACTAATAGAAGGGATTTACAGGAAAGTCTCCTGTTCCACGTCACGGATAAAAATTCCAGCAGAGACCTCTCACTTTATACAGAAGCTGTGCTCAGCATCACACCAAAAACGAAGGCCTAACCAAAAAATCAAAGTCCCCAGGCACGTTGCAGGCCACTGATAAAACCCAGATCGCAGCGTTCGAGCGGAAAACATTGATCCTTCAACTCAGGTTTAGGCGACAGTTGCCTGAATGCGATGTAGATGGAACTTGAATGGAGAGCTTCTGAGTGAGAGCTTCGATTAATTTTATTTGATCTGCTTCATTCTGAACTTGCTGCTGCTGCAAGATAGATTTCAGGTAGTCCGGAGAGATAGACATTGTAATTGGGTTGTAATTAACACAGTCAAAAATGGTCTATGGCTGCGCTGAACAGAATAAAACCCGTCGTCGCTTGCTTTTTATGACTGCAATGAATTAAGGTAAACCCCGTCGCCAATTTGCTATAACTGTAGCGGAATTAAATGAGGACGTTGTCGCCTTGTTCTGTCTGCGCCTGACTAATATGCCTATCTGCTTGTGGTACCTTCCGATTCAGTGAACCACGCAAATATCAAAACACAAAGGTTGGCCTGTGACTGTATGTTGTAGTACAACAACTACGACAAAGAACTTATTTAGGAAAACAACACATGGTATTTATACATTTTTACAACAATACGGACAGCTAACAGCATTTGAAATAATTGATCGTGATAGTCAATAACAAAGTGCGTGGGATCCTATCACCTCTCCCCGTAAAAAGTGTAGGACTTGCTTTTTGGATCTATTTGAAAAGGTTTCGGAGCTCTTCTTTATCGAGTTGACCTTCGCGTGGTACTGGATAGAGTGTGATCTGTGTCCGGGGCTTCCGGCTGCGGAAGACTAAATGTATCTACTAATACTTCTAACGTGAGGTCTCGTCTCCCATTGTCGGGTTTATCTGACGCATCTCGTATATGATTCGTGTGTCTGACACATAACTGTCCTTCTACATTCACTTTGTATAAAACCCTTTCTTTCTGTCCCACTATGTGTCCTCGAATCCACCTCGGAAGTGAATAGCGAAAATCTCGTACATAAACTTGCTGATACAATTTGAAAACTCGACGTTTAGCTCCGTGATGGCGATTGAATTGGTTCTCCATTTTTGTATTTCTGCAGCCCTGCTTTACTTGCCTAGGCTTAATTGAGTCGAGGGCAGTTCTGATCTTCCGGCCAAACATAATTTCCGCTGGGAATAACTGATTTCGGGCGGAAGGATTTGGCGTCGTACGATAATGCAGCAAGAATCTATGCAAAATTTCTTCTGTTGTTCCCTCTCTCTTCGCTTTTGCATAAGCACGCTTAAGTGTCACGAACTTCACTGTCCATTCGATTGGGGATGATACGGGGGCTACGAATATGCTGGATGCCAAACAGTTTGCAGAAATCTGAGAACAATGATGAGGTGAACTGCGATCATTACGGACACCAGAACATCAGGCATACCAAAACGATAGAATAGTTGACGTAGGTGGGACACTGTTGCAGTTGATGT